GCGCTCTATCTGCCCGTTCCCTCTGGCTACTCCTGTAGTACAACGCACGTGGTCAATCTGGTATTGGTTCAGAAACTCGCTGAATGCAACTGATGTAAATGCCGATCCTCTGTCGCTTACAATGCGCTTTGGAAACCCAAAAACATCAGACCAACTTTTCAGCTTACGTACGACTTCTTCTTGTCCAGTAGATTTTGTGGGAAACAGCCATACAAATTTTGAAAAAGCATCCACCATTGCGAAGATATATTTGTACTGTTTAGACGTCGCATCCAATGGCCCCAAGTGGTCAACGTGCAGCGTATGGAGGGGTGTATCTCCTTTGTCTATACAGTACAACAAGCCTTCCTGCTTTCCCAACTTTCTGTTACTTATTATGCACTTTATGCAATTGGCGACGAACTTTACAACTTTATGCTCTAAATGTGGGATCCAATACTGCTGTTGAATATAGTGCATGGTTTTTTGCGCTGCGAAATGACCAACTTCGTGAGCTTCTTGTATTACTTCGCGCTCCATCCCTTTTGGAACCACGAACAGTTCATTTCCGCTGACGCACTTGTAGAGAATGCCACCTTTCAGCTTGTAGTCTTGGTAGGGGCGTTCTTTAAGGACTTCTGCGACTGCCTTAATGTGCTCATCATTCTGCTGCGCTTTCTTTAACTGAGGTAGGATCTCTGCACTGGCGACATAGCATGATTGTGGGTTGCGGCTGAGGTAATCAACATGTTTCATTCTATCAGCTGAGCGGTGTTCAACATCAAACGTAAAGTCTTGCATGTACAATATCCATTGCGCGACTTCCCTTGGTACATCGATCTTGGACGTTGTCTGCTTAAAGGCAATACAGTCTGTTACCAACTTAAACTGTATTCCTAAAATGTAGTGTCGAAATTTCTTCAGGGCGAGGTAAGCTGCTTTCACTTCTAGGATGTAACTGTGCCTCTTGCAGTCTGCATCAGACGTCTTCTTGCTCCAGAAATATACCGGGTGGAACTTGGCATCAAACTTTTGCAGCAACATCGCACCGAATCCGTCTTTGCTAGCATCTGTGTGAACTTCTGTTTCGGCATATCGGTTGTAGATGTGCAAAATTGGCTCACTACTGAGAGCCTGTTTTAGCTGCTGTAGCGACTGCTTTTCTGCTGGACCAATTATAAACTCAGTATCCTTCTTTAGAAGATTCGTTAGCGGGCGAGCCATGTGAGCGTACTTAGGAATGAATCGCCTGAAAAATCCGGTAAGCCCAAGAAACCCCTGTACGGCTTTAATGTTATGCGGCTCAGCAAAACGAATAACGGCTGTAGTTTTCTCTCTTCCAGGCCATATTTTCCCATCTGCGACAAAATGTCCAAGAAAACTTATACGCGACTGAAGAAAGCTGCATTTTTTCCATTTTATTTTCAGCTTATACTGGAATGCTGTCTCTAAGACCATCTTAGTTTTCTGCATACATTCGTCTGGTGTTTTAGCGTAGACAATAATGTCATCCATATACAACTGCATTATGTCTTCGTTGATCAGCTCTTGGAATATGTAGTTCACAAAGCGAATGAAAGCGGCTGGTGAGTTCTTAAACCCAAATGGCGCTTTGTTGAACTCGAAAAGGCCCTCTCTGGTTACAAACGCCGTGAAAGCTCTGCTTTCTTCATCCACTGGTACGTGAAAGAACCCATTCTCGAGGTCCATGATGGTGAAGTATCTGGCAGCTTGAAGCTTCTCTAAGACCTCCTCCATTAGTGGCACAGGGAAACAATCGTCGAGTACCATCTTGTTCAGCTTTCTGTAGTCGACGCAAACTCGTAGTGTGCCATCTTTTTTCTTCACAACGACTACTCTGCTTGCCACGTTCGAAGTTGACTTGCGCACTACACCTTGCTCAAGCCACTCGTCCACTTGCTTTTTCACTGCATCTGATTCATCAGCCGATAGACGACTTGGCGAATGACGGAACGACTGGACAACTGTGTCCGGGACAATTTTCATAGTGATCGGACACTGCTTTGGTTCATCTGGTGGCATCTGGGTGCTGCTTTCTATTAACTGCTCTACACTCTTCAAGAACTGAGGCGGAGCTGTAATAGATGGGACTTCAATAACATTGTAAATGTTTAGGTCATACTTATCGTCAGAGATCTGCTGCGCTTCAAGGGCCTCAAACGCATAGCCCTTCGAATCGACAGTCAAGCGGAATTTTTCGATAAAATCATGCCCCAACAGTACATCGTAGTCGACTTTGCAGCTTGGGACCACCATAAACTTCTGATTTGTGTGCAGACCATCTACTGTTATTTCGGCTATGAAGAACCCAACAGGTTTCGTTGCTATGTTGCCCAAGCCTCGCAACATGGATGAACTCTTTAGAATGTCAACATTGGCGATATTTTTAGCTACATTTTCTTTAATAATTGTTACGTCAGAGCCGGTATCCACAAGGCACTCTACTTTTGTACCATTTATCCAGGCCAACTTCACACGGCGGCGATCAACAACAACACGCACTTTATTTTCGTTCTTAGGGCAACTACTAGATATGTGACCGCTTTGATTACACTTAAAACATTTTACAGCAGCTGTGCAATCCTTACGTTTATGCTCAGATGAGCCACAATTAAAGCAATGGTCCTTCTTTGCGCCTTGATCTACCACGTTTTTTATATTTGAATTCTGCTTCGGTTTGTTTTGCTTTTGCTCACTTGTGTTCAGCCGGTCAAAAATGTCATATTCCTCTTTTAATGCTTTAAATGTTTTACAACGATACATCGCGCACTTATATTCAGCTTTTATAAACAAACCATCAACAATATAGCGAATAACTGCCGCATCTTCCACATTACCGACTGACGCTAATTTTTTCATCTGTAGCATGTATTCGTGAAAGGTTTCGTCTTTTTTCTTTTTCCGCTCTTGCAACCGCTGATGTATATCTGCACTATTTAGGCTACATTCAAACTCTTCTAATAATGCTCTTTTCAATTCATAGTAGTCACCGACTGTTTCAGACTCTAAAAATAGCTTGGCGGCACCACACATTTTATTTCTAGCTTGTACATATTTCTGCATATCGGACAAATCATAGGCATTTGCATTCTTTTCAAACATTTCAAACCATTTATCTATCGGAACTGTATACCCATCACATTCACACACAACTTTGTCAAAACTGTCTATAGGGATTTTCACTCTTTCATTTTCTCTCTTTTCATCGATTTCCACTTTCAGTGTTAGCAACTGCAACATTTGCTGAATTTTGCACTCTATACCTTCTTGCTGCTTCTCCATCTTCTTTTCACACAACTGCTGCTCTATCTTCTTTTCACACAATTGGTCACCCTGATCTTGTTCAACAATAACAACTTCTTGCGGTACTAAACCAACAGCTTCCTGCATTTCATCACTTTGTTCTTTTACTTTTGCGTCCTTCTTTGCCGGCGTACGTTTGACCTTGGTCATAGTTTCGCTTTAATTGTTTTTTATTTCACAACTGCGGGTATATAACTGTAACTTTTCGCTCGATCGTATGATGCTGGCGCCAGGCTGACAATACGACGTAGAAAGACCTAGAATGTTCGACTGCCGAATTTCACAACTTTTGCAAATTTAACGACTTTTCAGCTTTTTGTTTCTGCATCGACCGATCAATTTAAACAAATTTAGCAACTTTACAACATTTCAACTTTTAGCTTCTGCATTGACCGATCAATTTAAACAAATTTAGCAACTTTACAACATTTCAACTTTTAGCTTCTGCATTGACCGATCAATTTAAACAACTTTAGCAACTTTCAACTTTTTATCAATCGGCCAAACTTCTGCTTTTGCAACTTTTGTCAATGTCCACTTTTACAAACTGATCAGTCGTTTTTTACACGCACTGAAGGAAATATTAACCGAGAATTGACCGAGACGAGCCCCCATATGTAAAGTTATGTTAAGTACAATATATTTTTAAAAATGATACAAATTATAACAATAGTTCAATTAATTCAGTTCAATTCAATTCAATATGATTAATATGTTCACGACGGTTGGCGTTGACAACTTCTTCGACTGACGACCATTCACGACGACTCTCTGCAACGACTGTTCTCTCTCGACTGCTTCTAACGACTTGCTCTTCTCTTGTGTCTGTTGTCCCTCCGCTTCGTAGCTTTGTCGCTTTTGGTGTGTCGCCTGATCGCCTGTAACTTGCCTGCTTACATATATTGTACTAAGTATTTTTGACATTGAAACAGTGCCTGTATATGCATGTACTTGAAACATCATATTACAAAACAAGAGAGAACGCTACAGTCGAGCAAATCCGCCAGTGAAATACCCTGTACCCAGGCAAATTTCCGGCACTTGCGGCAGAAGCAAAAAGAAGAAGGAGAGCGAACTTGGTGCTCCAGTTTGTGGGCGTAGTACTGGAGGGAAATTGTTTCGCTAATAACTTTAGTTAACTCTTAGAATTGACCGAATTGGATGAATTTTAAAACAAATTTAGGTAGTTGAAATTATAATTTGAAATGTGGACAGTATTGACGAAATCCAGACAGACGAACGGGCATTTCTATATCGATTTCTCTCGTCATGCTGATCAAGAATATGTATACTTTATGAGGTCGCAGATGCTTCCTTCTGCCTAATATACCCTACGGGTATAGGTTATAAAAATAATATTGTCGGCGACCACTGTGCGAGGTGGACGGGGACGGTTTTCACCTCGAAAGCGCGCCAATTTTTTATGGGACGACGAAAGGATTTTATTTTATGTGGCATTTGGTGCTTATCAATGGGCGTTTATTTATGCCCGCTAGCTGTTACCTTGAGAGTTTAATGGAGTATATCCACACTACATATACATACATACACATCTACACATATGTACAAGTATCTGCACACACTCAGATACGCTTTGAGACTCTTGTAGACTACTTGTAGATTGATATAAAGAGACTACTTTGTTTGCGGGACCAAGTTAACTAAAGTCAGCTGTTTTTCTTTCTAATTCGTTGCAGGCAAGATGTATGCGGTAATTGGACGACGTCATGGCAAAATCTTATCGGGGGACTTGACGCAGGGAAGCGGCAACTTTGCGGTGACCTGTCTGCTGCCCGTCATTGAATCTTTCAACTTTGCTCGGGAGATGCGCAAGCAGACATCTGGCCTGGCCTGTCCGCAGCTGATGTTTAGCCATTGGGAGGTGAGTGCCACACTATCAGCCACCAGTCCGACTGGCAAGTACCCACAGATTGTGCACCAACTGTTGTTGCTTTCTGATTTTGGCGCAAGTGCGCCACGTACGTGTCTGGCCACAGAAAAAGCAAAAGCAACAGCAACAGCACTTCCACTGCAACGACGAGGTCCACTTTGAGTTTTTGTGGCTCGCCATATGCGTGCTCTTGTGGTTTATATATTTGGTCAGCAAAAATCTCAGCTTACGAAGCGTTCAACCTTCTGTTACCTTCTTGGCTGGCTGTGCGGCTATGCGGCTATGCGGCTGACTGTCGCCGACTTGGGGGAAGTCTTATAAGCAAAACCGCATGGCAGCTTCAGCACCAGCAACAGCAACAGTTGGGCTGACTGGCTTGAAAGTTATATAGTACGAGTATGTGGTCCATTTGAAGCTGCAACTGTGTGCAATATTTTAACGGCCGTTGTCTGGAAAGACTCCATGTTGGTGTTTGCCGCTGTGTGTGCCTGCGTATGTGTGTGTGTGTGTGTGTGTGTGTGTGTAAAAAAACCCCAAACGACTTTTTCTGACCTTGTCATGCACAGTAAGCTACAATTAAGCAGCGGCTGCAGACTCGAGCCCCGAGCTCCGAGCCCCAAAAGCCCAACAGCCCAACAGCCATCGGCCAACTGCCAAAGCGAGCTTCGTCGGCATTAGAGCGACATAAGTCGCATACATCGGTTGCTAGGGCTATGGCAGAGATCGGGCCAGCTGGGCAGCGGGCTAACACTCGAACGGATGAATGGATGAACAGCACAAAAAATGATTAATATGCACGTGCAGGCGACAAAAAGTGTGCTTATGATATCGGCCGCGGAACAATGCCAGATCATTCCATTTACTTCAGAATTCTCCACCACTATGAGTTGAATATTTTATTTATACCAGGTTGAATTACATAACGTTGCTTAATGTCATACAAAATAAATAAAACTGTTGGAAATGTTGTTTATTCAATCACAACAATTTTTCTGAAGTGGTTGTTTCTTTCCAATTGGCGTATTCATCAGATAACTAATTATAAACGATTGAAACATTTTATCATTCTATCGCAATGGACAGAAATGCAATTAAGTTAGATTTAAATAAATCCTTAATTATGAGTAGGAAATACTTTCAAGTGATATAAGCAAATAGCTTGTGAGCTGAAACTCCAAGGAGAAGTGCCTGGGAAAGGCAACGGTTATGTTAAACCGTACCTTAAAATTAGTACGAGACATCCTGATATGCTCATGGAAGTGTTCCATCTTGTACCCTGGTATAGTAAGTTTCCTCAAAACACACTTAAAGCCGATCCGCTACTTAATTATAAGTATTATTATTATGCATATCAACATCATAATACAATACAGCAATCATAATCGCACACTATAACTATAATCCACACTATTTCTTCAATTTTTCACAAATTACAGCATTCCGCTGAAATCAGTAAACAATCATCACAAACCCCTAATCGAAATGGCCTGCTCAAGGATTAAATTATATAAAAACCTATCCATAATTTCGGCAGACTATAGACTAATGGATTGATTAAAAATATTTGACTTAAATGGCTAGATTTAAACAAGTAAAAAAGCTAAAGTCGGGTGTCCCAACTTTGAAATACTCTGTACATATGTTTAGAATAATTATAGAAATTAAAAAAAGTAAGAGATTTTACTTCTTTTGGTATTCGAACTCACGTAAAGGGTGTTAATCAAAAAAATAAAACAAACTCGTATAGCGTACACACATAAGGCATCTTTGTGCAAAAATCTTATAATCTCTGAGATCCAGGTGTTCATACGGACGGACAGACAAACAGACAGGGCTAGATCGACTCGTCTTGTCATGCTGATCAATAATATATACTTTGTGGGGTCTGCCACGCCTCCTTCCGCCTGTACCAGCTCCCGCAAACCTAATATACTTTTGTACATTTTATGTACAGAGTATAAAAAGATAGGTACGAAATAATGATTATTCAATACTGTTTCATTATTCCCTTTATCTTCAAGGTTAAATGTAGGCTAGTGCGAATAATGCGCACAAAAAGAATATACAGTCATCTAAGCCTTGTATTACATATATTCGCACTAAGCTGCGATACTATTTAACCCAAATGGTTGAAAAATTCACATTTTTCAATAGAAATTTCGAAATTTAAACTGCATCTAAGCAGACAATTTTGTTGGATACTTCATTTCCGTTCTTCAGACTCTCTCCCATTGGAAAGCTTTCTCAAATATGCTTTTGATAAATGCATATCCCTTATATAGGAGTATAAATATAATACCAATGCCGAATGTCTTGGCGGGTAACACATTTCCTAATTTTCTCCCTTCTGGGCATCAAGTGAATATTGGAATCACTCTGTCGGGTGCACAGGTATTTAGTGCACGTGTGCGTGTGTGCGTTTGTGCATATGTGTGTGCTTGTCTATATCGCCTAACCAATCGATAACAACAAGTTTTTGTATAATGACTTCCGGCGATTTTCTATTTCTCAGCTGAAGCTGTTGGGTTTTTTGCTGCTCGTGCGAGACAATGTCTGTCTCTAGACTCTCGAAGTATCCGACTCTCAGGCTCTCAGGCTGTAACTCTCAATTGGTCAGTTTGAAAGGAAACTAGTTTATTAATCAATAATTTACTATGAGAGCATATCGATTCGAATCAAATGCTACTTACTAACTTACTAGTGAGCCGTATCCTCAATATTATAAAGTTCCTAAATATCCGGTTAGTGAGTGAAACCAATTCATACTCGTAGTTCATGATACTTGTAGTTGCGCCTTGGCTCTAATTTAATGTTGTGGCGACAAGCTGTGGCAATTTTAAATTGGCTGCTAACGTCATCGTAATTACCAATGGCTACAAAAACAACAACAACAACAATAAATAAACAATGCAAAGTGTCACCTGACGTCGCATCGTCGTCGTCGTCGTCGTCGCTGTCGTTGGGTGTGTTTTGATTCTCTAAATGCTGTGGACATTTTGACAATTAAAACAGTTATACGCTTGGCTGCGTTGGAGTCGTCTCTGCCACTGCCACTGCCTCTGCCTCTGCCGCCCACACACCGCCCCAACACTTCAAGCTAGGCCGCGTGCGTGAGCGGCCCGTGGGCGGCTTTGTCACGTGCCCATAATAACAACAATGGCAGTAAGTGGAGTGGACCGGGCCTGGTCTTTATGAGTTTACATTTAAATTTTTTGCCGCATCATGGCCTACAATAAGTTCGTTAGGTTGCAGGCAGCAACAACAAAGATAACTGTGTTAAACTCAAAGCTAAATATATGTATGTATGTATATATATGCAACGACCATGTACGACCTCCAGACTGCAGTGTTGCCGTGCTGCAGGCGAGAAGAAGAGAGTATCTGAAGTGGCCGCGGTAGTAAAAAACTAATTTTCAGTTTTCATATTTTTCTTATTTTTTCACTTCACGTAACACATTAAAACTGCACACACACGCGCACACACACGTGCACGTAAATAAACAAACGTACACTCAGAGAAAAATCAAATTTCAATCAATACCGATTGCGCTTAATTTAAATCGTGATGAGCTCATGCTTCATGCAAGTGTTGCATTTTTTCATATTTAGGCTTACTCGAATTAAGCATTAAGCCCCAGTTCTATTATTAAATCAACAAATGTAGGCTTTGAATATATACATACTTGTATGTATATAAACTACTATTGTAGTAGAACTTTATAATTTCAACTTAAAAGATAAGAAAACCTCATAAAAATTTACAATAATGTTTCTGATATGTTGGGGAATCTTATTTTCCATACGTCCATAGCTACGCCCTGATTTACAGACCTAACAAGCTGAAAAAATAAAAAAATAGTGTGTAGAGGAAACTTAATTCTAATTAAGAACTAAGTAGATTACTTAAGGAGCAAAGCAGAGAAAGGGAAATCTCCATCGCGGTGGGGGAAGTTTAGTTGGGTATGGAGAAGAATTTTTAAAGAATACAGAGAGAGAGCGAGAGAGAAATCTGTCGACAGGAAGTGAAAAAGATCATTTTGGCTAGAACCCATAAGCCGAAAACGAATTAATTCGTTTACGATTTTCAAATCATTCCTAACGATCTTAGAGCGAATTCCTGTTTTTACTTGATTACTCACTATAAATGATGTAATTGCTCCATATAGAACTACTTGTACATTCGTACTGCATTACAACTTAATAGGTCTGTTAACCAACTATGGACTATGGATCGTTTATGAAATAATTGGCTTTTTTTGTCTGAGTGCATGTACTTTGTTGCAAGGAGCAACAAAGCTTCTGTTGTGGATGAAGCTACCGTCTTGCGCTTTTGTTATTATTTGATGTTTTCCTTTTATTTTATCTCCTCTCCTCTCGCTCCCTCCCTTCCTAACTCGCTTCATTTCTACACACACTCCACTTGTTGGAGTTGTTGGCTACTGCACTGCGCATTGCGCGCTTTTGATTACGTTGTAGTGATTATTATTATGAGAGACGGAGCTGGAGATGGAGACCCAGACCCAGACCCAGACCAAGACCCCAAACCCAAGCCGGAACCCCAGCACCAACAGACAACTGCCAAGCGGCAAGTGGCAAGTGGCAAGACAACCGCAGCTACCGGTCTTACACTCTAGAGCTCTGGAGTGGGCAGCCCAAAGAATTGGAAGCAGAGGATGAAGAAGAAGACGGAGAGTGCACAACTTTCAGTTTTGGACTGCACACGCGTCCAGGCAAATGGTCCGATGATGTTGTAGTTGTTATACGAGTATGTTGCTGTTGTCTTGGAGTGTTTATCATTAACGCATTGCATATTATTGTCGTCGTCATTGCCGCTTTGCATGCAAGGCATAACTCCAAACTACTCCAAAAGCATAGGAACAACAACAACAATAACAACAACTGTGACGAGAGAACCAAAAGACGGCAGCCGCAGCAAGGGAAGCGACGACCCAAGACAAATAACAAATAATCTGATAACTCGTTTTGTACCTGAGTCGAGCCTGAGCTCTCCATGCTAGTGCGCAAGCAAAGGGAAAGTCTTGTGGGCAGCATGTGGTGAAAAGCAGCGATTCCGATTCCGATATTGGCGATGGCGGAGGCAGCAGCAGGGACGGGAACGGGGATGGGGACTGCGACTACGCTGGCAAAATGTGATGGCGTGTGCTTGGCAGGCAGTGCCCTAAAGTCTGTGCTGTATGGGAGACATATGTACACGCATGGGCATTGTGATGCACTGAGAGAATTACTACAAATTAGTCAAAAAATTGCCAATAATTCTTGTAAAGATATTATGTTTATTTCAATCAAAAACACATTTCCTATTAGCCGCCTATGTTTCATGGCATGAATGGTTTCTAAGCGTACCAGAATAGAAAATACTTTAAAGACACATTTAATTGGTACGAGAATATCGTTTGAGATCCATTGAATACAGAGTCAACAATTTTCATATATGATTATAAATATTAATTCTCTTCACTGGCATAGCTCAACGAGCTAGCCGGAATCCCACAATGTGAGTTCGTTCTTTGACCATCAAGACAAGACGCATGATTACAAAATGTCAAAGTATCATAAAATTTAATAATTTTCCAACCTAGGACGGATCTTAAATAAACATTAAAGATTTACAAAAACTATAGAGCACTTTATGATCAGTGAATGTGAAGGGCTGTGAAAAATATTGTAATAATTATAACAGTTTTTACTATATTTTATTTATCGAATATAGATCAAGTTCAGTGCGTACTTCCTATTATAAGATATATGAGTATCACCCTCCGTTCAATTTGTACTCATTTATGTCTGATTAGCTTTTATTAAACGAAAAAAACTCTTTTTAAATAAATAAAAAATATTTAATATATTTAATTAATTAACTAAGACAACAAGTTTGGTAATTCCAGCTCTCGAATCTTCTGAGGTCCTTTCGTTCAAACAGACGGAAATACGGACATGGCGATCAAAAATATATACAAGAACTTTGTGGAGTTTTCCACGCCTCCTTCTGTGTGTTACATATACTCGCACAACACTAGTATGGCCTTTTACCCTTGGGGTTCAGGCTATAAAAACTCCTTCTATCGTGAAGATCCTTCACTGTCGCTCTAAAATACATTTAGTAAATGAAAAATTGAACGACTTTATTTGCTACTATTTTCTCAGTGTAGAGATTTATGATGCTATGTAAGTATGTATGTAAATCTTGAGGCCGTTCGGCAAGTGTTTATCCAAGTGGCAATCCTTCGGGCACTATGCTGCTCTTCCTATTGTTGTTGTTGCTGTTGCTGTTGTTGCTGCACTTAAGTGGAACGTGGTTTGCATTGTGCGCGCTGTCAAAATGACGCGACGCTCAACTCGACGCTCGACTCTGCGCATGCGCAACGCTAAACTCAGATCCAGCGGGCAGCACAATAACACCAACACCAATAACAATAACCACACGATAAACAGACAGCGGGACTGTGCGACGAATGGACGGACGTGGAACGTCCATTTGTGCTGTTGGCTCTGTTTCTGGCGCGCGATAATAATCTCGCTGCTGCCTTTTTGCTGCTGCTGCTGCTGCTGCTGTTGTTGTTGGCTACGACGCGTCGTCCACGTCCACATCCGCACCCGCACCCGTCCCCTCCTCTGCCATCACCATCGCTATCACACATCGTCTTGGCCGCCTGGCCACAGCTGCGGCTGCGGCGTATTTCGGTAGCTGCCGCGTAAATTACCTTTACCTGCATACTAAACCCCAACCGTAGCAGACGTGCGCAACGCTACACATATATATCTACATTCATACATACATACTATTTAGATATGTACATACGTACAAGTATGTATGTTTATGTCACGTCGTTTACTTTTGGATTTTGTTTTGGTTTTGTTTCGCTTCAATATTTCTTTAGCTACTTTTTGTATTTTCTTAATATTTTTCTTAAATTGTTATTGTTGGCATTGCGGTTGGTTCGATGGAGTTCTGGTTTTAAGACCACACTTCTCCACACTCACTTGTCTGCAATCTGGAGCGTGCAGCGCTCCGAGGCCGGTCAGCTAGTCATCAAGCGAGCTGCATCAGATCCATGTGGATAACAACTGTTGAGTGGTTGCTTTTTTTTCTCTCTCTCTCTCTCTCTCTCTCGTCAAAGTCTATATCTTGGCTATTGAGCTTATTTGTACAGGACACTGACAGAAATGTGACGAGCTTGCCAAAGGCGCAATTTCCCCGCCAGGAGGTTCAATAAACAATTTACATTTACTTTACGAATAAAAACAACAATTATTATTATGACGTCATGCGATTTTTCAAGTAAAATCTTTTTATTTTTCTACTTTCTATTTATACAAATTTTGCTACTTATTGTTTGTTAGTCTGCGTCCTTAACTAAATGCTTGTTTAACATTTTTTGTCGAGTCAGATGACCATCCTTCCAATTTAGTCACTCAAGTATTGAACAAAGCTAATTTCTACCATTTATATTGGATCGGATCAATTCTGTTCGCTCAGTAGAACTAAAGCATTCAAGTATTTTTGTTCAGAAGCATGCAGATGTATTTGTACTTGCTGGTTATACATTGTAAATATATAGCAACGAAAACTTATACATATATGTATGTATATACTTTAAATAGTACTGCTTCTTAGGTGATTGATGGCTTACGACCCAACCCTAGGAAGGGGTGGTTCATTGGGCTATGAACATTTCTTGGGAACTACTACACGTATATACTTAGTATAAATTATTTTCTACCGGCCGTCTCTAACAAAAGCATTTGCTATTCACAACCTGCAAAGCTTACATACATACTTGTATGTACAGACTGCATTCTCAAAAAAAGAAGTGCCTTCATTCCTAATACGCAGAATAGAGAAAAAATAGTTTGTCACATATAATTATTTTTACTGAGGTACTATAATCACATACAAGTAGGTAGTTATGCAAATTTTTGATCGTTTTTGAACGGTTGAAATAATACTTATGGTCTATTCTATGTACGTAGCTGTTATTCGAAAAATGTAACAAATAATTCTTCAATTCCCATTTTCAAATCATTTTATTGTATATTTTTATTCAATATCTATTCGCAAAAGTTCCAATCATTTCTGACTGTGCCAACTAATGTAATTTCTCGGATTTTAATGACTACATTAGATCGAGCAATCGATTAGTTCGATGGCGGATGGGAAGGCTGGTACCGACACTTATCATAAACTACCAAGGTCCTGCTACTGATGAGGCACAACAGATTCCTTCAAAGTATTTGAGAGTGATAATTGAAGAATATTACCTTTCTGTTACCATCCCCCATGCAAATTGATTTAGGGCCTTCGCTCATTCTACGTATTTTGCTGAGTGCAGACTCTCGAGGGACGATCATTATTTGTCTGTCTAGGTAAAGACGTAAGCTTTGCGCACTTCTGGAGCACTTCAGCTGCCGATGGCCTTGTTTTTGTTACTGCCCCGCCTGGTACTTCTTGTGCTGACGTGCCGTTGTGCGTTTGAAAAGGGATGGGGACGGCGGTACCCTCAGCATGATGAGCTGTTGCGCATGCGCTGCCGTTGGCAGTCAGAGGCAAAGGATAGCAAATCACACACATCCGCGTTGGCATCTCCTTTGTGTGTGTTTGGCCAGAGACCGGGATTGCTGAGTTGTGCGTGTCGTTGTCGTGCTACCGCCCCTCCACCCTGTACCCTCCTCCTGCTCCACTCTCCGTTGTTGTTAGTTGTTTTTAAACAAGCGAATCACTGTGCCTGATAAAGATCTACATAAAGTGGTGGAGAGGGGAGGGTAGCAAGCATCACCAACCAACAATCGGCAGTTTAGCGTAGTGCGAACAGATGGCAGAATTTTTCTCTGCCTGCCTGTCTGTCCGTCTGTCCGTTTGAAAAAAGTTTCTCCGGCTGGCAGGTTTTTTTCGTTTTGGTTTTTTACGCAGAAACTGAAACAAAATCCTGACAAAAGGGCAACTTTGCTGCTTTACTGTTGCGTCTTAATCAACGACCAGATCGAACTTTCCATTGAAGTGTTGTGACTGTGGCTGTGCATGTGTGTTTTCCAATGAATAGCTGACGAATAGACGACAAACGCCCTGACACCCGCCCGCTGTGTGCTCAAGTGCTAGTCCTCGTCCCCGTTGTTCTGTGCATCACGGAAAACAAAGCCAAACAGGCACACACTCTCAATAGAAGGCCCATGCACATGGATGAGTGGCTGAGAAGCAGAAATCATCAATCACCAAAAACAGCAAAACTTCACGCCATTCAGAAAAAGATGGAACAGAATTCCACGTACTAAATTGTGTGCGTTCGCATCCTGCCGTGCTTTATCACGCAATGTCCTTTGGCCGAGCAACATGAAAGTCATTAAAAATGCGCAGCCATTTGAATGTCTTTCAAACCTCTTGATCTCAACAATGAAGATGTGAAAATGCATGCTTTCCCTGATTGCTGCTGTCGGTTGCTTTTCCCTGCCTGTCTGTCTGTTTGCCTGCCTGCAGACAAACGGACCGGCACTAAACGCCACACAGAACTCATAAAATATCACGTAAATCCAATCACTCTGTCCAAAAGGATATTAGGCACAGGCATATCGATCTAGGCATAGGCATAAGCACAGGCGCAGGCGCATAGACCAACGGACGCCGCCGCCGCCGTCCCAGCGCGCGCCATTGTGTCGCACTCAAGTGCCTGGGCGCGGCACCATTGTGTCTAAATGATTTCTAGGAAAGAAGATGCCTGAAAACTGAATTGTCCCTTTCCGTTCATACATTTTGTTTCGTTTCGTTCCTTGCAGGTGATTGATATTGATCCCTTCTGGCTACCCACCACTGAGGAGGAACTGATGCACTTTGGCGAGAAGGCGGACTCGGCGAATCGCGCCAAGCTCTATATGGACAGTGTGCGCCGGCGCAAGGGCCTCTTTGTCGATGAGCAGGTGGTTGAGCATGCGGAGAAGCAGCGTACACTATCCAAGAACAAATAACGAAAAATAGCCCTACTTACCTGGTACTCTACAAATCGAGATGTATTTTTTATTTAAAACTACTTGCCTAAATTCAAAAGTACGTAATAAAGGAATGCACAATTGTAAACAGTAGTGGTTTAGAGATGTGGTTTTTTGCACAATAAATGTGTGAAAGTTATTGTGGATCTGCTAGGTATTGTCGTTGGTGTTCTCGGAATTCTTTGCTTCAATTGGACCTACCAAGGTAGGCGCTTCATTAGTAATCAAACCGCTCTCCTTCTCCGTCACCTCAGGCACGGTCAGCGAATTCTTGCCCAGAACAATATGTATGCAGCTGTGGGAGGAGGTAACAGATGGGAATAGGATTAAAAGTGTTTAGCTGATAAATCAGAGAGAACTTAACATAAAGTAATTCAGAAATGCGTAAGTTTGAAGTTAAACTAAATAGGTTGTAGGATATGGTGGCTATTTGTATTGGATTAGTGACCAAAACTTTTAAATACATGTACTATAATATGACTCTGCTTAACAGAAGGGCTGTTAAAGCCGAACTGGCAGTCTGACCACACATAAGTTCGTTAGTAGGGGCACCCTTAAGATGGGATTCTTCCCCAATTTTATGGAGGTTGACAGTCAACAAGCTGCGAAGCCGCATGGACAAACGCTATGGAGGCGGCACTTTCAACACTCTTGAAAACACACTCTTTTTACAAAGAAGTACAAGTTTCTGAAACTCCTTCCTCCCAAATAAAACACTTAGCATCAAATTCAGATGCAACGCAAATACCTGAGGGTCATCCTAGAAAGAAAACTGTACTGAGATGACGACATAGAAGAACGAGTCAATAAAGCTACACATGAATTTTAATTTTGCTACAAAGCCATCCGCACCAGAAAAAGGTTTTCGCTCAGTGTGGTACAATAGATCTATCTGGCCATCATCCCACTAATTTTACTTTATAAGATACAACCATCCAGCAAGCCACCCACTGAGCACCCAGTCAGTTAACTTGGCCAGGCGGATAGAAACAAAACTGCAAGTAAGTTGCCAAAATTAGTCGGCAGATTAGTTCCAAAAACTGTTGATTGTTAAAACCTAATGCTTATTATAAAGTAAAATAAAAAGAAGTTTAAGCCAATTGAAATATACTATATAACCCTCTTATGATTAAGCTTTTAACAGCTGTATACAATAGTTGCAGAAATCCTCCTTTGCCCTTAGTCCGTATTTAGGCACACTACGCCTAACGCCGGCCCTGGATACATCTACTAAGAATGAGGGTATGGGTACGCCTTAAGCTTTACTCCGGATTATGCCACGCGACTAAGCACGGACAATTTCACAACAGCGCTGGGAAGAAGAACATCTAAGCCCTTAAAGCTCAACAGAACGGAAGTCTCTGGTGTGGCCGCTCACTGGCCATTATCAGGTTGGCAGAGACGCTGCTAGACTCTTTAACGATTTCTGCAGAAGCTGCAGGGATGAAGAGAAGGAAGAAAGCGTTGAACACCTTCTCTACCGCTGCCCGGCAGTTAGCAGCTTTAGGGTAAACGGGCGTTTCAGGCCTGAGTGGTTAAGCATCATCGCCCCAGCCATTGAAACCTAACCTAAGCTAACCTCTAATATAAATTTTGTGCCCTTCTCGACCGCAGACAATTCCCAATCTAAAAAGCAGCTTACTAGACTTTGCGTTTTAATAAAATAAAATATAGTAATAAGTTGTTAGGACGAAGGGTCATGCATATTGTCTAGTTTTGAATTCCTAACAATTAGGTTAGATGAAGTTGAACTCTTGGCAATGCTTTGATGAAACGAGGTATGATTTTTTAATAGTGTGGAATCATACTTACAGTATCAGGACAAATACCGTCATCTGAGTGGCTATAGTCAGCATAAATACATCACCACCATGATTGTGGTCCAATGTAGCTCGATAAATCTGCGAGTAACAAACACCACTTATAAAGGGCACTGCATTGTCAAAGACGGAGAGCAGAGCAAAGACCTTGCCCCGCTCTGATTGTGGCACAATCTTTGAGGTCATGGCGCGTATCATGGGCCCTACAATGGGACCCAAGCTACAGACCACGGCGCCTGCATAGAGCAGCTTTGGCGTTGCAGCAAAATAGAAGAATACTCGCGCAATGGAGTGAGCCCAGGCACCAACAAAGATAATAGTCTGTTTAAATTAGAAATGTCCCCCAGATGAGGCTTGTCCAGTCAACAGAGATCTCTGCCACACTTACCGTGTCACGCCAGCCCAATAGTTTGTTCATCAATGGCACCGCCAACAACATGGCAATTACATATGCGGCCGACTTGAAAGTTTTGAATGTGCTGTATTCCCTTACCTCCCACTGAAACTTAGAGACTGTGTACAGATAGAGGTAACTGCCCTCGTCCCGCTGGAAAGTATAGAGTGCCATGCTGAAGAGTAAAATGGTGATGAAGATGCGACGATGACCTTGCCGGGGCTTTAGCAAAACGCCAAAGGAATCCTTCACATGCTGCTTATCGAAGAAGTCTGACCAGATGCCGCAACAGCCAAGTTCACGCAATGATCGCTGCCTAGGCGTTGTTTGCCACTGCAAGAAAGCTTGACTATATATGGAGAGCTACGAACTAAGGCTAGTGATTATACCTTTAATGCAAAGAGGGTGTAAATTATGGCCAGAGCCAACAGACTCGCATTTACCGTGAACATGTGCCCGTAAGAACGGTTGAAAACATGCTCAAACATATACGAACCCAGAGCAACACCCGTGGGCATGGCACTAAGGTAGACTGCGTCCAGAATTGTCACTCTTATGGTTCGCTGCTCCACAGTCGTTATGTCTGAGATGTAGGCAAAGCAGGAGGCAAATATTGCCACATCCGCACCCGTTAACGCCGATGGCAGTGTAGCCGTATAGATAATGTATTCCGCTGGCCACGTAGACTGGTTGGCATTAACCACAACCATGGTGGAGTAAATGCATTTTCCCACAAGGCCCATAAGCAATGGAAATTTTCGACCACGCCTATCCGAAAACGAGCCCAAAAAGAGTGCTAAGACAATGGGGAAAATATGTGCCGAAATGTTCTCCCATTGGTGGTATATGGCTGTGGTCTTAAACACCCTCTCCTGGTACTCCTTGTTCTCGGGCTTGTTGATATTTGTGCAGACCTCCTCACTAAAATTGTTATTGACGCGGCAGGCCTTGTACACAATGAAGTTCTGCTCCACCACAGAGGTGAACATAAAGGCGAACATGTACAGAAACATTGTCGGTTCGACGGATATGGCGCCAAATATACGTCTCCCGCGACTCCTCGGTCGGCTTTCGAGCGGGTGCTGTGCTTCGGAACTAGCATCGCTTCCATTGCTAGCGGAACCGCTGGCGCGTCTTTCATTTACAGCAGCTGGCTAAAAGTATGCAACACTTTGTAAGATAGACGCTACTGTGAATAGGTAACGTATATAGTATGTAATTGGACTGTAATGAAGATGACGAGGCTGCAATTTTATACATGTAATATTTCTATTATATTGGATTAATAGCGAATTAAAAACGAACAAATAAAAACATGTGTTTATTAGAAACTTGTATTTACGTTTGTTTTAATATGAAAGAGCACTCAGGGATTGGCACTTTTCGAACAAACCGCCTTCTGCATGCATTTTTATTTTGTGTTGGTAATGCCTTCGCAAATATTCAATGCGAGGAACTTGAACGTGAGAGAGAGCGAGCGCATGGCAACTTGAATGAAAAGCTTTCGTTAGACGGCACAACACGTTTTATGTTAAATAAGCACTCTACTGGTAACGGCTGCTATACACTCTTTGAATTGGACAAATACCCAGAAGCCGGTTTGAGTGCCTTTTGGAGGAAGTTTTACTTGCAGAGAATACAAAAGTCTTCGTCACACAACACTTTAAAAATGCGTGACGTACACATTCATTTTCGTATTTCAATTATTTTGTACAGATTGTGAACAATCTGTTTAGAACACCCAAAAATACTACACCCGTGTAGCAAATGTATACATACACATAATTTATTTATTTTAGATGGTCATTATACTGCCGGCGATATATTTTATTGTAGATTTGAGCACTGCTGATAATTTTACTTTTCTCTTTTATTATGCTTCTATGTTTCATATTTAAATAGCTTCAATTATACATACTCATCAACGCATGTGTGCTTAGAATTGTTATGCATACGTAACACTTGGTGTTAACACCAGTCGTTCGCTTTAAATAAATTTCATTTAATTTAATTATATTCTAAGCGATGGTTCACAATTATTTATTATTTTTATATAAACTTATCACTCTTTTTTATTGCTTGTGTTTTGTCGACATATTGCTTTAAACACAAAGTTGACACTTTATAGCGCTTCACTCACCTCTGTGCCGCTCATTTCGTTTGCCGCCTCTTTTTGTCGCTCTGCACGCTCACTGCCGCTCGTTATATTGGTACTATTAGGGTTGCAAACAAGCCTCAATACAATGTTTATTGATGGTTCATTCCCAGAGCTTTTTGCTTTTGTTGCTCTTTATTGTTCTCTTAATGCTTTCGACTGTCGCACAACCGCGTTGAGTTTGAAATTCGACGTAGAACTGTAACTTGATGCAAGAAATTAATTTTCTAAGGTAAATGCAGATGTTGCTTTATCATCGGCGGTGCCTATAAAGATATTCAATATTTGTCTAGCTTAAAAGCCACAATTTGCGCGCTTTATTTATCGTGTAAATCATGTGTTAAACCAGACGCTATTAAAACAAAAAACCGCACAATGCAACAAACTTTTATGGCTTTTCAGCTAATCTCAATATTTTCAAACTTCGTTATGCTTATCAAAAAGCAAATTGCACGTTATCCAGATCATTGGCGTTGATAAGCTCAACAGGTATTTCCAAGTCGTATAACATACATACATGTACCTATAAAAATTAACTATCATGCAGAGTATTGAAATCAAAATCACATAAAGTTTGGTGTGATAATTGTTTTATAATTGTTTGCTATTGCTAGTTAGTCATAGGTGTATGTAGATAGTTCAATTGTTAATTTACGAACGTTTTAGCGTCCTATCAATTAATGCATTTTCCTGTCACTAACGTAGTTGGTAACTTGGATGCACTTCCAACTCGTACTTACAATTTCACAGAAACGGAGCGTAAAATGGTTTTATTTTTAAATTAAATAATTAAAATTAAATAGCTAAATTCAATAGTTAGGTTTTATATCATTGTCAGAGTGACTGCTTCACAGTTCTTGTTATAGTAATAAATTTATTCAAATGGTTTGGAATTTCGAAGATTATCATCTTTTGGTTCCCGTTTTTGTATGTAGACATAGATTTTTGAAGAATCTTGACAAACAAACATATATGTACGTAAATGTATATTCCTTTGACACTGGTGGATCAAAATGTTTTCAAGCAGCTTAAGCCAAAATTCAATTTATATGTTGTTATTAGTAGAACTCTAAAAACGTATAAAAAAAATTATAATAAATCACACAACTTTTAATATTTCAATAGTCCCCTCTTTATTGACCTCCACTCGTAACAAAAACCAAAACAAATTTAATCGCACTTGTTCCCAGTGTCGGTCTCAGAAACTGCAGACTGGGAAATATTTTTGCAATTTGTAAACAACTACTATACAAGTATAGTCTTATGTATGTACATATTAAATTTCACAGTATGTTTACACGAAGTATACCGATCGACTGACAAAGAGATATCACTCGCTATAAATATATTCACTCCACAATGTCCAAATTACTGTGATTGCTTAATTAAGTGGAAAATATAAAATCAAAACAAACCGATCGATCCAGTTTAGTTTAAACGACTACGAACCGCTCGTTCTAATCGCCAATAAGCAACTGCCGCTGCTTGTGCAGCATGGAAGCTGATAAGCCCCGGTGAAGCAGCCGTTAATATTGAGCTTGAAAATATTGACACTAATATTGTTATATTATTGTGGCTGTGTGAGTGTTCTAATCAAGAGTTATTCAAGATCGCTCAACTTCTGTTATTGCAGCATTTTTTAATTGCAGCCTGAAAGTAGGCAATATTATTTTTTCTTTTCGTTTTGCTTCTCAGTTGGACAGATTGCCATTCTTGTTGTTGTTTTTGTTGTAATTAACACATATGCTCGTTCGCATTACCTTGTGCGCCTTACCTTGTTCACAAACTAGCTCTCCAGCTTTCCCGCTATACCGCTTTCCCACTTTCCTGTTGCTGCGATTTCCCGTTGCCGCTTTTGCCTTTTCATTATTATTGTCTGCGGCTTAGAGGGCTTCCCTTTGGCCAGGCAGGCAGCGGTTTGTAATACGAGAAACAGCTTAGACTGTTGATTCTGCGAATAGCAGAGACTAAACGCCGGAGCCCTCACTGCCTCCCGCTTTCCATTTGTTTGCCATTGCTGCCTGGCAGACTGTCGGCAATTGGTAAAAGATCAAGTGCTGCCTCCCCAAAGAGTGCGGCTAACTTACGAGTATTTGCATAGCTCAGTGAGTCGTCGCAACGACGTCGGCGTCAGTCAGAAAAGTCAGTTAGTTGGTGCTTTAGTTGCCGTTAAACTGTCGTACATGTCGGTTTGCCACTAAACAGTCGCGCATACTACTCCCCCAACAAAAAAGAACAAGATAAAACGCAACTTGTTCAGACAGTAGATAATATGTCAGATAGCAGGCTCATCGATGTGGATCCACAGGACCAGCTAGAGCTGCAGATTTTGGACCCGAGCCAAGACAGTCCACCCCAGGGAAGTGGGAGTGTCAGCCTGGGCAGCACACCGCCCCAACGGCTGTCAAAGCGCAACAGTTCTGAGCGCAGTCTACCCCTCCGCAGCTACAGTAAATGGGCGCCCACGGAGCAAGGCGCGACACTTGTCTGGCGCGACTTGTGTGTCTACACAAATGTGGGTGGATCCGGCAAAAACATGAAGCGGATCATTAATAACTCTACTGGCGCCATCCAGCCAGGCACGCTGATGGCGCTCATGGGTGCTAGGTGAGTAGACAGAATTCGAAAGACAGTTACATTCAAAGTCGAATAAATGCTCCCAATATAAATAGTGACACCTAATTATGTTTGGAAAAAAAAGTAAACAAAAAGTTAAACAATTGTGAATGGATGTAAGTGAGATGCTCGAGTGAATCACCAGCTCTGACTGCTAGATCGGTAATCGATATGATCGACCACAGCCTGTGTTTCTCAAAGCATATCAGGTTACGTATGTGTTGATTGACTTCGCCTTGAGGGCTGTGCCAAAGAATTTAATGTAATGCGATTCGCGGAATGTAAATAAGTGTCAAATGTTATGTAAGATATGCTGAGAATGCCGAGTGATTGCATATGCTTTCATTAATACCGCAGATGTGCAAATGGATTAACTTTATCGTTTAAACAAATGCACGTACTCTTGTTTACATTCAGACCACACAACATATTGGAATTTGGTTTGGTCAAGCAGGGCGTGTAAAGGCTTAACATAATGCCAAATCTTAGGCTGTCTTACCTAAAAACTAAAACATCGTATGGCGTACAGAATTAAAAGTAGGGGCTACCTGATACTTATACTTTTTAAGCGTTTCCGACTTTCTGTACAATTAGAAAAATAGGCGTGGTTACCATCTTAGACATACCTACGGGATGTATTGCAGCAGCATTATGGATATACGTAGAGTGATTGCAATAAAGATACAACGCAGTTTTCCATTATTCCAAGATACTTAAATTGTATTTGCGAGGCACTAATTTAATTAGAATATCTTAAGGATGTGATGACTGTGATTGTTCTTCGTTCATCAGAGTCCCGTGGACATTTCTTTTCTTCTTCTAAGAAGTATTCGTCATGTAACAGTCGGAATCATCTCTGAAATACTATAAAATTTGATGCTGTGAAATGTATAGTAATGTTTCAAAGATAGTTTTAAGTGTTGACTCGATGTCTTAGCGACCCACTCATCTGGAAAGTTACTTACCTCTGCCACGCTACACTAAGCACGTTGTCTGCATCGTAGTAGACATATAATGATAGCTATATTTTAAGAGCAATCGTAAACCCAAAGATAGTAAAGTGGCACAGAAATTCGGTGGTTGATACACTTTTTTTCCAACCGCACGATTCACTTACCCTTTTTTAATCTCTGAAAAGTGAATTGTCACATAAAGTTGTTCTAGATATTTAATTAAGCAGATACCTTAGATATGATCCTGCATGTGCCTAAACATTTGCTCACTGCTTCTCATTTTCAGTGGCTCGGGAAAGACGACTCTAATGTCAACACTGGCCTATCGGCAGCCAGGTAGATAAAGTTGCAATATAAAACAGCCTTGATAAGATAAGCCAGAATACGATTGTTTATCTCTTTGTCTATGAAATCTGAACTGAACCTGCATCCAACACTTCACACAATGTTGCGTCCGATGCAGCCGGCACTGTGGTTCAAGGTGATATACTGATAAACGGCCGACGCATTGGACCGTTCATGCACCGCATCAGTGGATATGTGTATCAAGACGATCTCTTCATGGGCACGCTCACAGTGCTGGAGCACTTAAATTTCATGGTAAGGCGTCATACCCACATCATTACACAGGAGAACATTCCATTGAATGCCGCTAATCCCGCCAGGCCCAACTGCGCTTGGACCGGAGGGTGTCGCCGCAGGAGCGCAAGCTGATCATTAGCGAGTTGCTGGAGCGCACAGGCCTCCTGTCGGCGGCCCATACGCGGATTGGCAGCGGGGACGACAAGAAGGTGCTTTCGGGGGGCGAGCGCAAGCGTCTGGCGTTTGCGGTCGAGCTGCTCAACAATCCGGTAATTCTTTTTTGCGACGAGCCCACCACCGGCTTGGACTCGTTCAGCGCCCAGCAGCTCGTACAGACGCTCTACGAGCTGGCCCAGAAGGGCACAACCATACTGTGTACCATACACCAGCCCTCAAGTCAACTGTTCGATAACTTCAATAATGTGATGTTACTGGCCGATGGTCGTGTGGCCTTCACTGGCTCGCCACAAAACGCGCTCACCTTCTTTGCTCAGCACGGTTACTACTGCCCGGATACTTACAATCCGGCAGATTTCCTAATTGGCGTGCTGGCCACGGACCCGGGATTCGAGCAAGCCTCGCAGCGTTCTGCGCAGCATATGTGTGATCAGTTTGCCGTCAGTTCGGCGGCCAAGCAGCGCGACATGCTCGTCAATCTGGAAATTCATATGGCTCAGACTGGAAACTTTCCCTTCGACAAGGAGGTGGAGCTATTCAGAGGAGCCGCCTGGTTCAGGCAATTTCGCGTCGTCTGGATGCGCGCCACATTAACACTACTGCGGGATCCGTCCATTCAGTTGGTCCGTCTGATTCAGAAAATGGTCCTGACCCTGGTTATAGGCGCCTGTTTTGCGGGCACTATAGATACCACCCAGCTAGGCGTACAAGCGGTGCAGGGCGCCCTCTTTATCATGATATCTGAGAACACCTACCAGCCCATGTACTCGGTCATGAATGTCTTCCCACAGGGCTTTCCGCTCTTTTGGCGGGAGACGCGATCTGGCCTATACACCACAGCGCAATATTATGTTGGCACCGTGCTTGCTATGGTAAGTCGTCTACAAATAATACTTATCTTTATGTCAGGAAGAATACTTAAAAATAGATATAAGCAAATACATTTTATAGAAAACATCTCTATACTAAAGGGCAGGTTGCAGGCAGTACTACTCAAAAGAAATATATGCATCATAGAAAACCTCTTGAAGAGGTAAAAAATCAATCGTCATACCACATGTAAAGGTTTCGGGGTACAGACCATTTAGTAGAGTAAAGTATTAATCGAATAAATGATTAGCCTAACGTTAAAAGTAATTTAATTTAGGAGATCCACCGACTTCCTTTTTTTAAGAAAAATATTTAGATAGAATACTCATACGAAAACGGGCATAAGAGTACTTCACTTGCATGCTTCAGAATTTCCTCATTACTATATATACAACACAAGCTCCATAAACCAAATGCACACGCAGTCTATATAGAATTATCAACTTTTGTTTTAAATTTCATAAAAATCGGCCAATTCTAAGAATTCACTCCAATACTACGCCCACAAACTGCATCATCAAGTTCACTCTTCTTCTTCTTCTTCTTTTGCTATGGGCGCATTTAACTCAGTGCCGGAAATGTGTCTGGGTACAGGGTATTTCACTGTCGGGCTGCAATTCAATACACTGTAATTGTTTCATCGGTATTTCCTTCAGAGAGTTCTCTAAAAATAAACGAAGACCGCTTAGGGATTACATGTAATACATTCTGGAAATCTTGAAGGGGAGATCCTTTAGTTCAGTTTCAATTTTCAGGAACTATCTGCTCAGTTTTTATTCTATACAGTGTTTCCTTCTTTGGCAGCGCTTTTTAAAATTAAACGCACAAGTTATATTATTAAGGAATTGCTGTGAAATCGTCCATAAAAACAGTAACTCGATATCAAAATGGAATATCCTCACAACAAATTATGTTCAAGAACGAAACTGAAAAACACTCTAGTCAATCTACGTTTTAGGACTGTTTCTATGCACAATTAATACAAGTAATTTGCATTTAAGCAGCTGGAAAGTAATTTTTAGAGTAATTTCTTAATTTTCAGCTGCCGGGCATGTTAATCGATCCGCTGCTGTTTGTAAGCGTTTGCTATTGGATATGCGGGCTGCGTCCCGATTTGTATGCCTTCGGTATCACAGCAATATTTGTGGTGCTGACACTGAATGTGGCAACTGCTTGTGGCTGCTTCTTCTCGACTGCCTTCAATTCGGTACCGCTGGCCATGGCCTATCTGGTGCCGGTTGATTACATAATCATGATTACCTCGGGCATATTTATCAAAATTAGGTGAGAATCAGTGCCTCGCTTTATCAATTAAATGATATATCCCTTTAAATAATACAGCACCTTGCCAGTGGCCTTTTATTGGACGCAGTTTCTCTCCTGGATGCTGTACGCCAACGAGGCCATGACCATTGTGCAATGGTCCGGCGTGCAAAATATCAGTGAGTAGCCGCTTAGGTAGTCAAATCGAAAATCATTCCCTAATCATACTCGTTGTTGTGCAGCCTGCTTCGAGGAGAGCGAGGACCTGCCCTGCTTCCACACTGGCCAGGATGTGCTGGACAAATACAGCTTCGATGAGTCGCATCTCTATCGCAACATGCTGGCCTGTCTGGGCCTCTACTTTGGCTTCCACCTGCTCGGCTACTATTGCCTGTGGCGGCGGGCGCGAAAAATTTAAAATTAAACATCAACAATGTTTGTCTCTGTTAATATAAATTAATGTCGCGCTGTTGTTGTGAAGCAATGCAACACTTTCTAGCAAACATACCTACCAACATAAAGTACACACAAATGTAAATAGTTATGAAATGCTTCGACACTTGCCAAACTTATTTGTAAGTTTTATTAACACATTTTTTGCAGTTTGCACATTAAACATTTACAACATTTCGCGACAATTTGTTTCGATTTTGGATGATATATATATTTTTTTTTTAATATCGTACACGTACATATACATATCAGCGTTTATTTTAACTCAACAGCAAGCTACTTAACGTCAGTTTAACTCGTATTTGAAAATTTAAATTAGTTGCCTTGCCACTCAATTGCCAAAAAGCACAAACACTTGTAAGTGGTGTGTGTACTAAGAGGAATGTTGCAGCTCCGCAGCAGATGCTGCAACTAGTCGTTGCAAAGTAAAAAATTCCAAAGTTTTGCATAGTTTGAGGCATTTTCTCAACAATTCTGCTGCCAAGCACAGCCGCTGTACTTGTATGTGTTTGTGCATGTGTATGTGTGTAGGTAGCTAAATGATAGGTAGTACGTATATATATGTATGTAGTCAGCTAAGGTCAGAGCGAGTGAACAGTTAAAACTTCAAGTTAAAACTAGGTAACAAAAATGTATAAAATAATTCATAATTTATACTTTCTTTCATAGAAATCACAGCGAGAATTTTGTTCCGGTATATATTTGTATGATATTTAATAATTATTTACCGCCTTTATTTTATTTTTTAATATTTATATATTTTTTCTTTTTTTAGTGTTTTTTTCTTTCAGCAACATTGAGACACACAACATACACGTAAAACATTGTACATCTATCAACATTTATGATTAGCTAACTGGTATTATATTCGTATATTGTATGATCTGTTGTAAGAGTAATTTGTGTATATACTATACATTTATATTTGCGTTTAATATTTGCTTAACATTTAAAAATAGTGTGTTCCGCTTAAGCTTCTTGTGGATACAGTTAAATAAAAGTACAGCCTTAAATTGACAGAGTTGGTTACTTAAGTGTATTTATTCGTAAAAGGTTTATTGAAAACACTGATAGCCAAGACTTCATGAAGTGAAGATTCCATTAGGCAATCCCCAGAGTAACAGTGCTCCAGAAAGAAATGATCGAATGGTCAGTTTATATGCATGCTTTCACTTGATTTCCACTTCAATATTTCGGTTAATACTCGACTGACAATCAATCAATCAATTAATTTCTTCACAAGGTTGGAAATGCAATTTTACTTTTTCTTTTGAAGTTGCAAATCGAGAAATTTAAGGCATTTCTCTGCATATGACATGGCATCTAGCTATCAAATATCGTTCCTTTAAAAAGGTCGGGGCAGAGTCGACTTATCGTACAAATTCATTAAACTTTAATTCAAATTTATCGGCTGCTTTTTACGTTTAAAGCAATCCAGACTGAACTAGGTTCCTTGCAGTACTCAATAGTTAATAACTTTAAGTGTCACATCTATGTAACACTCATGAAGTCTCTCATTATTTATTTATGGGCCGCTATTTTCTATTTAGTTTATGTTGATGATGAAGTTTGTTTCGCTTGCCAGAATATACAAAATTTTCGTCGACTATTGCTGTATGTTGAAAGAGTAGATAATCTTCTAACATCTCCAGTACTGCTTCAATTTTGCTTAGAGAAGTGAAATTTATATACGGATGAAAATTTGAATTTTTTGATACTGGCCTGTTCCTTGTGACAGTAAGCAAGAGTGGATTCCATTTCACCACCATGTGTTTCCAAAGCAACTATTTGTTATTTTGGGTGAAAACTGAATTAATTAAAAGCGTCATACTTTGTAATGACGGCCTGTAATTACGCTTTCTAAGAAGTTAAAACAATTGGGCATCGTATTGCTATATGCTTTACTGCAATGGGACAAATTCTTTTATTTAGTGGATTTAAAATATTACAAGTGTATGTATTCGATTGCAAGAGTGGAAGACAAACAGAATCGATAACAAAAGCTAACACTAACAAATTCACATCTATCAGTGCTTTCATAAACATAGCATCGTCATAAAAATAGGTAAATACATATATATCTTTTTTAATATATGTATCCTTGTTGTTTTATTTAAATTCGTTTGCACACTAGCTTCATTCATTTGCGACCGATAGTTAGGAACCTTTCCTTCCTCCTCCAGATCCCGATTAGCTTATGATCTACGGACTAGCTATCAATAATTAAACCGACTAGTTCTACATGCTTTGGTACCCAGTTCGTGCATTTAGCTTCGTACTATATTGTGATATGAACGTTTTAGTTGGAGATCAATGTAAATACATCTTATACTCGTATAGTTACCCTGTTTCTGTACAAAGTGAAACCCCAAAAACTAAGCCCCACCGTCTTGGTGGTAAAACATTGATATTTCAAATAACGACAACAACACCTATTGCTAAGCGAGAGATCATACAGAAAAATAATAATGAAGTTAATTGAAAATTGTGAATTTCATAATTGTCTTCTGGCACTTGACTAAAAACTGAACCATTAACTTTTGTACTTTTTATTCATTGCTGAACTGTTTTGCATTTGAGTTCAGTTTTTAGTATACTTGTACTTGTAGTGCCATGAAGCTCTATGAGTTTTTAAGTTTTTGATTTTTTGGGTATGTTTAACTTCAATATCTCTGAATATTCTGTTAATATATTTTTCAATCACTATATATGAGATATAGTATACTGCCGCTCAACTGAATAGTTTTATTTCGACTGTAATTTATATTAAATGAAGGACCATCAAGTGTTTAAAAATCAAGGCAGTATAAGTGTATTGTAATTAATTTTCTTCATTCTGATGATTTTATAAGTCTATTATAGCTAGCATTATTGGAAATATTTAGGTGCATCATTCTAAAGAATGGATTCGGAAGTGGATCAAATGCTTTTACTTGTATACGGTACGGATGTTCCGAATATTTGCAGTTGAAAATTCAAATAATTTATCGGAGGGTAAAATTGATCCCAAAGCTATAGTCAATTCAACTCAAGACCTTTAACAATATTTTAGATTAATAGAAATAAGTAGAAGCTAAATTAGTACCCAATGAGGTTTTCAATTGCACCGAAGCACTTAGGCTACTATATATGTTTTAAACACTTGATGCTTCGTATTTCTAAGTATTCCTATTCTGAATTAATTCTTGTTTCTCCACTATTTCAATTAATTTGATTCTGAAAAGAAGATCATGAGCTTGAAGCTAGAAAGCAGAAAAGTAGTCGTGATAAGCGAGGTAAGACTGTACATACATCTATCAAATCCCACTCCCACTTGAGCCCCACATAACAGCTCTACTAAGAATCCTGCATCGACCTTGTGCCTTAAATGCGGCTGCATATTTTACATATTTACACGATTTATATTTCCAAGCCTAACCCCCTGGCGTACCCTCTCGTACCACCATCTCCCATCTTCCTTGCCTGCCAATGCAATTATGTGCTGACATCCTGCAAAACGTAAGCGGCAGCACCACCAGCAGTGCCCGGACTGCTGCCACCTCCGGCTCCACTTCCACTGCCACCACCATCGCCCCCGCTGCTGCTTATCAGAATCATGCTGCGACTGTTAGGCAGAACAAACACCTCGGTGGTCAGGCCGATTGGACTCATCGATTGCGAGGTCTTGATGGGACTGCGGTTCGGTTCGAGCGTCGCTGTGCGCGGCTGCCAGTCGTGCTCGACGCTGCTGCCGGCACTGGCATTGGAACGACGCACTGCATCCGCTTGGCTGCTTTCTGCTCGTTCCAGTAGACTGGTGGGCCCATCCTGCGTTTCGAGGGTGCCCGGTGCCGTTTGGGTGGAACTGTTGCTCTCGTCTGATAATAGACGGGTCGTTGTTGTTGCTGTCGATATGCAGCTGACCATCATCGTTGTCACCGACTTGCGTTTTCTTTGTAGCTGCTGCTGCTGCTGTTGTTGTTGTTGCTGTGGCGTCGACGCCAGTGCTTCCGTTACATTGAAGCTGACGATTGTGTCGCGTTTCCGCAGCGCTGTGCTTGTCGTTGTTGTTGTTGTGGTCGTTGGTGGTAGGGGTAGGGGTAGGGGTAAGGGTAGTGGTAGTGGTGGCAACTCACCTGTCGTGGTGCTGCGTAGATTCTGCTGCTGTTTGTTGCTCAAATCGGACAAACTAATGTTGTTTTTCAGTAGAATTTCTAAATTTTCAATCGAGTCCTTGAGAGTGCATTTCTCATCGCGTGTGATTTCATCCTTAAGCTCTGCGACCAGCGTTCGAGGAGGAGGTGGGGCAACGGGCGAGTTGGTGACCATCGAAACAGATTTGTTCTGGCCACACTCGGAGCAATTGTCAGCCATATTGCTGGCATTGGCGCTTTTGAGCAGCGCTGGCAAGGCGCCAATTGTCACTACACTGGAGCTGTTCGAGAGACTGGGCGTAATGGCCGTCGAGCTGCTAACATTGGTGCCGAAAGAGGAGGAGATGTTGTGCTGTCGACAGAGCGATTTGCGACGCTGTGCCGTCAAGCTCTGCATATTCGAGTTGAGATCAATGTCGGGTGAAGGCAACTCGTCGGCATCATCCTGGGCATCCTCCTTGGCATTCGTCTCTGCCGCTGCTGTTGCCGCTGTTTCTGCCATTGAATCGCTCTGTAAATTTGAAGCTGGCTGAGCATTGATTGTCAAGGTCTTGGGCGGTTCCACAGCGACCTCCGCTTTTGTGGCCACATCGCTGCCACCCGCCAGCTTGCCCTTGAGAAAGTAGGTGATCATGGAGCCCTTGCCCTTTACATTGACACTGCCACGACAAGTCAACTCGTAGCCGCGACTCTCCAGTATCTGCTGCGTCTCTTGGGTAACCTTTGAACCGCGGCATTGCGAAAAGAAGAAGAAATTTTGCAAAATGGTAACATAAATTTCAGGCGACAAGTTCAATGGCAATGCCCTCACTTCCTATTTACTTTTATTTATTTACACAAACCCAAACACACACACGCACACGCACAGCTACAAATGCAAAAGACACACGCACATAAACACATCTGTCTACAAGCATTGGACTCCATTTTTCATGATAGCGCCAGTTCCAACAACAACTGGCAACTGGCAACTGGGTAGCCTCCTCCCCATCACATGCTGAAGCGACCCGCTTAATAATTTATTTCTGTTTCGTTTGGTTTTTATCGATGGCAAACGGCAAATAAAATCAAATGCACGTTTTTATCTGTGCTGGCTGCCCTCGTCTCTTTATTTGTATTTGTATTCGTATTCCTATCTGTGTTTCTGTAAGTAGCAGGAGTGTGCTTGTGTGTGTGTGTGTACGTGGGCGTGTGTGGGTTTATGCCATGAAAGATGCATGACACGCGGCGTATACGCATTGGGCTCTTGGCCGCTTGGCTGCTTGGTTGCTTGGCCGATTCGCCTGTTGCTGCCCGTGCGACTCCCAAAGTTTTGTTGACACTAAAAGTTTACCCCCCACTGTCCATTGGCCAACATCAGCCACAATTGATTAGAAGCTCCCCCAGGGTGGTCTGTTCTGAAGATGCGTTTAGACAGAGTTTGTGCAATATTTGACAAACTTGGCCAAAATGTGCTGGTGTTTTCCCCGGTATGTAATCCCAGAAGTAAGTAAAAAGAATGTTTACTAAATTACAGAATGTTTAATAAAACTCCATTCTCCAATACATGCGCCAATTAAATTATTTTTTTAGTTAATTATAAGGCGTTTTCTTCCAACTTTGATTTGCCTTTACTCGTATGTTATAATTAAGTAAATTATCAATTAAAAAAAAAAAAAACTGCTTGAACACAAGTTTAACAGACAAAGAACTGATAAGAAGTTATTAATTGATTTCGCATGTATTGAACTAATGCACTTTAAAGCAAATCAGTTGAAGTAATTATCCTTTTTAATCGCTCTCTTTAGTTGACATTTTAGAGACCATCAAGCTTTTAGTATTCATATTCCCTTCATTAAATACATAAACTTATTTTTTTCAATTTGCAAATTTGTTTTGATAAACTCCTCAAAATATTGTCCCGAATATTATAATTATTACGCCTTAGAATATTCGTAGTCTCATATATTTTTCAGCGTCAACAACAACTTAAATAATTTATTAATTCAATTCGAACCACTAGCCGTAAACTTTTTTTATCAACTTTAATCGTCAAGGTTACAAAATGAGTTTATGAAATTAATTTCATGGTCCAAACACAATTTAAGAATCCACCCTGCTAGCAAAAGAGGAAAACTTTCGGTTTTGTTTGAAAGTAACTTTCAGAACAAAGATTTTTGTGCAGAATTTCATCGCTTTTTGATTTTAGTCGAATGGAAAATTTCAAAGCGCACATCAGTGAAAGCAATTGTGAAATTGGAATACCAGCTCAGCACTTTGTTTGCTAACCGGATAAGTGAACAAGAAGCAAATAGCATTTCACTTAAGTGCGCCCAATTGCATTGAATCGAAATCCGTCAACTAAACACGACTATTAATTATCGATTGCGCATGCAGTTAATTAAAATCACAAAATAATGTCGGCAATTGATTTATTGACCATGTTTGGCCACACTCACCTGAATGTGATCCACCAGACCTGTAGAGTCCATGCGCGAGGCCACATTTACCGCATTGCCCCAGATATCGTATTGCGGCTTGCAGGCCCCGATTACTCCCGCCACGACCGGACCAATATTGATGCCTGCATGGGTTGATTGGATGAGAATATATATACTACTTAGTATACCCACAAACGAAGCAAGTCAATCAAACTCTTCATACCTATGCGCATTCGGAAATTGTTGAAGGAATGCATATTAACCTCCTCGATTTTGTCAAACAACTGCAGCGCGTAGTCCGCCATAGCCGTGACGTGACTAAAGTTAACCTGGTCGCAGGTATTGGCCGTCAGCCCCGAGGCGGCCATGTAGGTGGCCCCCGTACTCTTGATTTTCTCGATGTAGCTGCAAGCAATGAGAAATACGGATGTATATATTGATTCTCAGTTTCAGGCTGCGGCCGTAAAGGAGTAACTGTTGCTGCACTCCAGACAAAATAATCTTACCGAAAACGCTCCTCACTCAGTAATTCATCGAAATCGGCAATAATCTCGTTGAGCAAGCGTAAACATTCAACACCCTCGTTGTTGCCCTCCAGCTCTACATAGAACTCGGAGAAGTTTGGTATTGAAGCAAAGAGGATGCACACACTGTCGCATTGTTCGTGGTACAGATCCTGTAATGGGAAACCAATTGTAGACGAAATCAAATATTTGGCCAACCATGGCCCTGCTCTGCACTCTGGCCAGTTTGCAATTGTGGGTGGATGATGGTAAGTGGCTATGTGTGGATGTTTGTGGATGAAGGGGTATTATGTGCTCAGCTAATGAGTATGAAATGAGCTTAACTTACGTATCCATAAACATTGACCTGGCTTCACAACTACCTCTTAAGTACCACTGTCTGTAAAGCTATTGAATCTGTGTTGGATTTGTAAGTAATGATTTCTAATTTTCTGCAAGAGCACTGACTTGAGCTGTATTATTTAATTACCTAAGAGATTCTGTTTTTAAGCCGTTGTCGACTTTTTTCTGAGAAAGAAATACACAAACACATCACACTATTTCTATCCATGTCCAAAAATAGCATTACATATCTGCATTCTCTGTATTGAAAATGTTATTTTAGTTCTTTATTTAGACAAAAAAGTTGTCAATGACCTTCTAGGTAAGAAGCTTGCACAAACCAATTGGTACTATCATTCAAAATATTAACGACTCGTGCTCATTGAAAGAGTTTCATTTGCCATACCATTCAGACCAACTTTCTCTGAACAAGAAAGCTAATGTGCACCTTATTGAGAGATGATAAATGCTCAGGAGGACGGATAGCGTTCTTTTTACACATATAGACAACAATAACTATTGTCCAAGTCGTTGTAGAAATTACAAATATTTAAATAAGTATTTGAATTAGTTCCGAACCCTTAATAAAAAGCAATTCACATGCAAATCCACAAATTATTTCGAAAAGGAATAGAATTTATGATTACATTTAACTCCATTAGTAGAAAAGTATTGCTGTTTTAAGTGTTTACGCTTTTGTTGGACCTTATAGCAAGAAAAAACCTTATTGTTCAAGTTTTTGTGCGGTTTATAGGCCAAAATATTTTTTATTGTAGCCAATTAGTAACAAAAAAGCTTCAAATTAAACCTGTCCTGATTATTCAACATCTGGATTCAAACTAACTCAGTTTGTCTTTAAGAGGAACATACCGTGTAGCTAACGTGAATCTAAAATTTAAAGCTAAAAAGAAACAGCTCTCAAATTGTGAGCAATCGATTTTCAGGCCATGTTTAAGTTGGCAAAGGTGACTGAAGTGAAAATAAAATGGAATTTATACAAAAGTGGAATGCCCGCGTTTCCGTTCCCAAAAGTCCTCAAATGTTGCAAATGGCTGAAATAATTTGCTTAATGAATTTCTCACTTTCCAGCAAAGAACTAAAAGCAATCCAACTCAACAGTATTTTTTACCTACGATCTGAGTTGCTGGCTTGGCCAGCTGCCCAGATTTGTTGACCGGAAATAGTGCAAGCGTTTCAATGCCAGAATCGGCATCAAAATAAAATGCATGCACCTCCTGCTCGTGCTCAAGGAAGTGTTGCAGGCCGCAGTGGCATTTCAACTGACGGTGGCAGGAAACTGACATACTTGCAACTCAAGCTGGATTTTAATAGCCATGCTGAAAATTCATCTGCATTCAAGTGAACCTACATATACGATATGTTGAGGCATACATATGCACATTATGGCTATGAATTTGAATATGGGTGCGAATACTTACGTCAATGTGCTTCTCTCGACTGAGGAAATGCTCGGCAACATGCACGGGCAAAATGTTTTCGAGCAGTTTACGATTATAAGCCTGTAGATGCTCCATATCCTCCTTTTCCTCTGAAAAACGTATATGAATAGCGTAAAATTGCAGTATCAGTTATCGTTTAATGAACCGTAGAAAAAGAAAAAAAACAAGATAGAAACACTTGATAGAAACACTTGATGCTGCAGTTTGTTAGCGTAGTACTAGTCTAAAATTGTTTCGATGGAAATTCTAAACAAAAATTGAGAACTACAATTTACTAATAAATTATTAATTATTCAATTAAGTAATTAATTAAAGTTTATTTTCTGTAGCTTTGGAATTGTGGACAAAATTAAGGGAGGTGGAAAGGACAATTCAAAAAAAAAAATAATAATAATAATTGAAAATTCGCGTTGTTTAGGGATTAGAAGACTCTATATAGTATACTAAGTCTTTATGCTTTTATGGGTTTGGAGATGCTTCCTTCCACCTGTTACAAACCTAATATAGCCTTTAAAGCCTTCGGGTATAGGGTATAAGAAAACAAAAAAAAAAACATCCACTGCATGAACAACAGTAACAAGAGTTGCACGTGTGTATGTGGCTGAGCTACCAATGCTATTCCATTAGTAAAAGCTGTTATTAGATGATTCTACATTTGATAGAAATATAATGCCTTTCAATGAACCGTAGCCTTATCTTATATCTCGGATAAAACAGGAAAGGAATTTGCTAACAGTTTGCCATTAAAAAATATATAAAATACCATAAGTGGCAAAAGTAACTAAAAAATATGGATAGTGAGCGCCTGGGCTTGTTGGTCGAAACAATTCTTAGTTATCTCCCGCTTAAATTTTCTTTTAATTATGCATTCTTTTTTCAGTTATATAATTAGGTCATGTAGGTCAACTTAAAGAAACACAAAATGCGTAACTATAACATTTAATTACTAGAATTTATCATTTTAGTAATAAATTAAATCAGTTACAAAGTTAGTCAGTATAATTAGAGGACCATTTACTCCTCCGTTTCTTTATGGCACCTCAAGGCCTTATTGACATTTTAGTTTTCATTTGGTATTCAAAAAGATAAGTTAAGAATTTGTTGTAGTATCAATACTCAGTCTGGTTACTAACCCATATCAACAAATCCTATTAAAATAAAGTTATGAGCATAGAGATAACTAACATCTCCAAAAGTACTTTATGATATTGTGATGCCTTCACCTCCATAAATAAATGTTCTCTTCTTAAATGCTCACTGACGTCACAATTTTAAAATGTTTAAAAGCACTAGACATCGCTAGGTGGCTAGGAGGAACTGTCAGGCAGTTTTGTGGGCTAAAGTTGCATGCAAAGCTGCGCTGTTAGCCCCCGCCTTCGGCAGTTACTCCTGGCCAGGACCTCTAATTCATTAGAAAACAGCGTCAGTCAGTCACTGGTCAAAGGAAAACTTTGAGCAGCATGGCATGCTAATTAGTTTGAGAAGTTGTGGGCTTTCGCACATTTGAGTGTTAGTTACTCACCCGTTGCCTGCAGTTTCCAAATAAAGTCCAAACGATATGTCGCCTCAGTCTGATGGCTGTGAAAAATCAAAGCCAGCATAAATGCAAAGAGGAAGATTGAATCAATTATGTAGCGCAGCAAGGCTTCCTCATTACTAATGCTGCATCCCGAGCGCCCAAGTGCCAGTAACCAACGGCAGCGCCGGCATTGTTGGCAATGACGAAGTTATTCCAGTCCATTAACAAGTTATACAGGCGCAAGGACACGCGACAATGCGACACGAGATGCCGAGTGTTGAGCCACCAGGAGTCACATCAGCGGCACCCGAAGTGGCAGAGGAGCAGAGGTAAAAGGGGTACATAGATAGCAAAAAAGAGTGTAGCATTGAGTGAGTAGTTGTAATTATGCAGTCGTAGTTTCACACTTATCGAAATATGTATTCAGACAACTGATAATCCACACCTTGTAAGATTTTAGTCGAATTTTGTAAAAAACGAACCCTCTATTTTTTATTAAATATGTTTATGCTTCTGTTAGAAACATTTAATTGTTGAAAGATACTGCATCTGTTTGTAAAAAGTAAGTCAGTTCTCTTTAGGGAAATATGAAAATAAATGGCTTCACTATGAGATAAGGAAGTACAGTGTGGTTTAGTTTAGTTCTATTATAAGTATTTGTTATTGCCTTAAAAAATTGTAACATAACAATGAAGAAACCGAACTTTTTTGGTAAAATTTGAAAACATCATTGAAAATGTAAGCCAGCAACTTACTTATTTTGCTGATTTCAATTAAAAGTGAAACCGATATTAACAATTTTACTACAAGTAGAACCGAGTGTTCGGAAAATTTTGGGATTTCCTCACTTCCCTTTTCTAATGAAAAACACACAAATCGATAGCGAATAAATTAAGTTAAAACCTGTTTTAGCCAATATGAAACTTGAAAAAATCTCCGTATCACTGAACGACTGCCATATTTATAAAGTAATTAAATACTTCAGGGCTTATTTACGTTTTAGTTTTAAAATCTAGAGTGTTTCTTTACATTAACAAATTATAAATTGTTTTAAAAATTTTGAAGGATGTTTTGTCTTGTCTTTGGTGTGCAGATACATTTTTGCGTCCCTGTGTGCTTTTGTGGCAGTCGCAGTAGTCTAGTAGGTAGAGCCATTTCGCAGCCTGATAAATGAAGTTGGACAGACCCGCTGCTTGCTAAAATAGCGCAGCTGACTTGGCGAGTGCTAAATACAATTTTAATGCAGTTTGTGGCTGCAGCAAATGCATTTGAGCAGCAGGAGGTCCTGTCTCCACCAGGGTGGCAGAGGGTCAGCCACTTGGCGCAGAACAAATTGCATTACGAGTACAGCATAATGCGTTTTCATTTCTCGTACGCGACCTGCCTGGCAAATGCCGCTGGCTCGGGAGAATCTAAAGCAGGAGGCAGAATGGGGGTAGGGGCAGGGGTAGATGTAGATGTAGATACTTACGCCAATTCATAACTGATTTCCTTGCTGTGTGCATACAAGTAGAGGGAGCAGGCCAGGTAGGAGGCGGCGGCAAAGAGCAGCAGCATTAGCTTTAGTAAAATGCGCAAAACTTGGTATGTGGCACAGGTCATCATCGAGAGCAGCGTGAGCAGTAAAAAGGTCTGTAATGGATGGTTGGGGATTGGAGTAAATGGGCTACCCCTCCTCTCACTCTTAGTCTAAGACTTACGTTACAAGCTAAGTAGAAATCACAGGAGGCAGCACTTGTTTCTATAGCTTCAATTACGCTGTCGCTTATATTTGTTGTGCTGTTTGTTTTCGCAAGCGAGTTCATCATATCGTAGTTGGTCTGTAGTATCTTCAGTTGACGCCAAGACTCCTGAAACTATGTATTTAAAATGTGTCAGTGGATGAGTACAAGTGGGTGAGAACGCTAATTAGTTGTTCGCTTATCACAACACCATTGGCTGTGACTTTTGTGATTACTTTACGAACTGTGGGCCGAGCTTTAACGACGCTTTAAAGCAACCATTTGCTGCCCATAAAAACTGTCCAGCCAAATGAATAGAAATGGCCCGCCAGAAATGCTTAAAGTGCCATTAAACGCCCATACAAAAGTTGGCCACCAAATGTCAGAAGCTGCATAACATCCTCAGCACTGCGGTAAGCTCTGTGATGCCATGAACTCGGAAACTGGCAGTCGCGCACCGACAGCCAGACAGGTAGACAGGCAGACTCAGGTGTATAGGTATCTCATAAATGGACGGCTTCATACACAGACCATACACATATGTATGAAGCGAAGTGCGTTTAAACACTGCTTTGTTATACACTTTTCAAAAGAGGGTATTATGCATAAGCCCAGGACCAGGACATACGAAATAGCATCGATATGCAGCAGATATTTTGAATCCTTGTTTTTTCACTGATTTTAATATGTTCTAGAGATAAGGGACCTATCACCTATTTTTGCATATTATCAATGCCTCGTTTTACACGGGTTTTCTGGATCCCATCTACCGTGTAAAAACAAAATGAGGTGTATTTGTTTAGCTCCCACCATTTCTAAATCGGAAACGCATTACGAATATATTTCCGGTATATTAATAATGTGACTATAATGAGATAAACAAATCAATTTCTATAGTTTTCTTCTTTAAAATATTTTCTTTCCACACTTGTCTTATTTGGATGCTAATTATATGGGGCCTGCTCTCACATATACAGACATTTTTAATCGCTACTCCTCTAAGAGTTGTAGATCAATTTGAACTTTATATAGCTCTTATAGAATTTTTGTTTTTAAAAATAATGGAAAGAAATCAAATATTGAAAACTCTGAAAGAGTTGTGTCGCATATGGGCGACAAAATACCTTTTGAAATGACATTTCAAAGACAAGTAAAACACTTGAAACAATACATTATCTTGTTGGCTAATCTGAGAGCACAATTCCCATTTCGAGTATCGATAACCTTGTTGAAACTGGCAGCGGCTGGATAGTGTAACAGTTTTCCAAGTAGAGTACAGAATCATCGCCTCTGTTCCTCTCGTGTATTCTCATAGCCCGCCATGGTTATCAGCCAATGCCGAACTTTAATGGAAAAACTTTTGTTTTGATGCGCTCAGCAGCAGAAAAAACAGCCACTAACAAGAGCTACATAACAAAAACAACAACAATAGCAAGAACCACAGTCGGGACAAGCAACCAGCTCGCGCCCCCATTTTATTTTGGCAATTTTTGTTTGCTTTTTAAATTTTATTTTCATTCTTATTCTCATGTTGACTGCCGCTGCCCCCCTTCACAGGCTATTGCCTACACAGTCCACCCACTTCCGTCCTGCCTCATCAGATGAAATATACTTGTATGTATGTACGTGCGTACACACATACATAAAACATTTGTCGCTTCATTCCCATCAAAAGCGCGGTAAATTATGATGTTAAGTGTCTCAGACCTTTTACGTGTATGTCGAAGATTTGTGCGCTCGCATATTTTTTTTGATGTTGCGCATACGCCGCGTATGCTAATTTTGCAGAAATTTGCAAAGAAAATAAAAGAAATGCAAACTTTTACACGCAAAATTTATATGAGAAATATTTTTACATTTGTGATATTTTATGCTTGATGCTATATGCATGATATAATATTTCTAAATTTGGGAACAAGCGGGCAGGGCATCCACCAAGGACACATCAAAGAGCAGCCAATCAAATTAGTCGTACCAGTTGACTGTTGACTGTCCGTGCACTGTCTCAGCAATGTAGATTCTACAAGTAATCACCTAATGCACGCATTTGCCCAGAATTTGGTCTAAGTTTAACCGCTGCTTAATATTTTATAGAAAGGCCAAGCGGATTGGGTCACGGATATTTAAAGGAGCCCAGTTTTGTGCAAAGCGCCGTGAAATTGAAAGGTAAAATTAAGAAAGCTTAATCTCAGACCCAGATCTCTAGCGACACCCCTTTTCCCTCCACTGGTACTTACCATGACGAAGAGCGTGGTCAGAGCAATCAGAGCTACCGTGGCGAAGGCAAAAAATTGCGAGAGCCTTCGATTGCTATGAATATGTAATGAAAACCTTTTGATGCCCATTGGTAGCTAAATGGAATATGTAAATAAATGCAATAAAATATGAAACACCTATACGTTAAAAACAAAGGGAATGATTCGATTTATAAATCCAACCTGTAGCCCGATGCATACCTTCAAATTGATTTCGTGACATGCCACCAAAAATACCAGCAGCAGCATCAAGAGCAGGGCTCCCAGGGACAGCGCCAGTGCCGATGGAGTGCTGCAACAAAAGAGGGGATAGGGATCAAGTTAGGTGGGGAAAGTTTCAATGAAAAAACAGCACACAGCGTTCTCTTTTTAACATGTGCGATGCGTTCAAAGGACGTTTATTTGCATTCGCATTCATATACGTGTATGTACATGGCTCTGATCTGATTCTTTGTTGACTTACCTCTGGAAAACAGTTAGGCGCATGACGCTGGTGCCCAGTAGCACCAAAAGACTACAGTAGAAATACACGCAGAGCATTCGATCTGGTTCGCTGGCATACTGCAATGAAAGTGCAAAAGCATTAGTATTTATTGGTCATACGAACACGACCGGTCGCACTTTATTCTCCAACGCATTGTCCTTAAAACAAAGCAACAGCGATTGACAATGCTCGGCCCGCAAGTGGTCGATACTGCGAGCGTCTATGGCACGCATAAGATATTCATTGACCTCGTCCTCTGGATCCTTGGTACTCTCCGCACTGTCACCAAAGCCAAATCTGCAGGAGAAATGGTGCAAGAAAATTAAGATGAGAAAAATATACCATTGAGCTAACTATTAAACTAACTAAATAGAATTTAGTTTCGACGGCAATTAAAAATAATTAAATCTGTTGTGAGAAGCTGCATTTAAACTTTCAACTAAATATCAGTCAAAGTTTTACTTTGCTTCATAATATTGGTATCTTTTTTGTAGTTGAATTCATAGAGAGTTTTTACATATTTATCTTTTTGCCATTCATGTGTGTTTTGCCTTTAATAATTAATATACAATTTTGAATCGAGCATGTGTCGAAGGTTATAGTAATAAGGTATTTCTGATTAAAATGTAAATATTGTAGTGGTTAATTTAAGTGTCTGCCTTTTTTCGGTAAATGAAAACAAGAGAGAACGCTACAGTCGAGCAAGCCCGACAGTGTAATACCCTGTACCCAGGTAAACTTCCGTCACTGAGTTATATGCGCCCATAGCAGCAACAAAAAGAGGAAGAAGAAGAGCGAACTTGTTGCTGCAGTTTGTGGGGGTTGTACTGGCGAGAATTTGTTTCGCTAATAACTTTTCTTAGAATTGACCGAATTGAATAAAATTTTGAACAACAGTAGACAATTATATATAAATTATGTGTGCAAAGTTTGGTTTAGGTAGCATTTGAAATGTGGACGCTATTGACGAAATTCTGTAGCGGGGGAAGGGGGGGAAAATTAAAAAAAAAAAATAAACTCGTCCTTACTCGGACCTAGGAGAATCTGGATGCCAACTTTGGTTATTCTAGCTTTTATAGTTTCTGAGATCCTTGCGTTCATCCAGACGGACGGACAGACGGACGGACAGACGGACAGACGGACGGACATGTCTAGATCGACTCGTCTCGTCATGCTGATCAAGAATATATATACTTTATGGGGTCGGAGATGCTTCCTTCTGTATGTTACATACTTTGCACAAACCTAATATACCCTGTTTACCCTACGGGTACAGGGTATAAAAACAAACAATTTTTCCTTTGAAAATAATGAAGTGTGTAATCAATAACATAATGTATAATTTATAGTTATAAATAATAAATTATAATTCAAAGAAAATGTTGAATTGGATTTACGAAATGGAATAAAGGAATGCAATAATAACACATTAATGAAATGTATACCGACCGCTGTTTTATTAAATAATTCAATAAATTAACGAAATTATCAGTAAAGTAAATTGCGCTTCTAAAACCAATGTTTAATATTAGTCTTTAATCATATCAGGAACATAACTGGCATATATTTATTTCCACAAATAAGTTATAATTTGTAACTTTATAAGTATGAATATAGTTTTCAAGTTAAGAACATGTAAACTTCGATTGTTGCTGAATGGAAATTAGTATACTTTAAAAATAATATAATTAGTGCTGAAGTCCCATATTTTCTCTTTCTGTTCTAATCTACATATTATTCTATGGAGCCTTTAAAAACAAACTTGTCTCTTCACTGTTAAACATTCGTGTGTCTTTTTCAATTTCTTGATTAAACGATTGAGTGATGAAAAGGCACATTTAACGCATTCATAAAAGAAATGCTATTTTTGTGAAATGAAGAGAATTTCAGGCTAATTTTTACTTTTAGGATAAGTTTGAAGTCGCATTCAAAACTTCTTCGTAAAAGTGCAAGGACAATCTTAAATATATTTCAATATCTTTATGTCATGTACGGCGTTCTTGAAAACTTCCTAAGATAGGATGTATTTTCTTTACCGTAGTTCGGAGTTTGTAAAATCAATTTTAACATTAACTTACTTCGATGTGTGTTTCTGCGCAGTGCCATGGCCCATCATGCGCAGCTCCTTTGAGATGTTACCATTAACCTGCAGACGATTGCGCGACTTTTTGTGCTGAAAGTGGTTGATAAATGAATAAGACGTGCTCAAAGCTTTCCACTGCTTACCACCTACCGGTCTGTAGATATCGCCCGGCACTATGAGATACGTCTCAATCTGATGATCCTTCAGATAGGAGTTGCGTTCGGCACCCTTGCCTGCCTCTACCTCGTAATCGCCGTCGAGACATTTGAGCGTCTCCTTGGTGATGTGCACTCGCCTGCAATGAGCGCAAAAATTGAATAAGGCTTTGTCAGTCAGCCATCCAGCGACACATGGCGTATGCGTAATATGTGCGTTAATGCAGCAGCTCGTGCATTTTCAATCCAATTGATTGGCAGCAACTAAACAGACGTTGTCAGGAGAAGCTTCCCACAGTACAGACGAGGGGCATGTCTTCTTCCCTTTAAGGACTTCATATTATTTCTCTTTCCCCATTTTTATTTGCTGCGGCTTGCAACTTATGCGCCACACATACACCAACAAACACATCAGTGCGGTGGCAAACACAGCTCGTTGGCTGCCACATGCAGCTAACCGCAGCTTGCATTACATGTCGTTACATGCTGCACTGGCGCTGCTTCCCCTGCAGCACTACTTTCACATACTCTCCCCTCCTCCTTCAACACACTAAATACTTTTTAATGTTTTCATGGCTTTCGCCGCTTGCAACATGTTGAGTAAGCAAGCGAGCTGCCACCGCTGCAAGTCAGCATCAGTGGCTTTATTAAATTGTCATTTCGCACACACGCCCATACGCACATACACACAACACACAACACACTCGTACGGTCACACAGGCACTTTCAAATGCCACATGCGTCGGCGGCCACGTGCCACTGGCAGGATATCGCAAATTCAACTAGAGATGAGCAGCCACATTATGGCCATAGCCGTGAGGATTCTTTAAAAGTTCTCATCAATTTTCTTTGCCTAGCAAACGCGCTGTCATCTTTATTCCTTTGACCCTTTTGCAGTTATGGGAAGAATGTTTCAGAAGCAACCCATACACTCGCTGAGTATTTGGACATTAAATACGTACATAATGGCCTACGTTTTTGGGCTAACTACGTCACTTATGAGAAGCACAATCAGCTAGGTATTTAAATAAATGCTTTTTAATAGAGAATTTGTTCCGAAAATCTAAGTATTTCATGCGTAGAAAACACTTTTGGTCTTCTGAAAGGCTGAAATTAAGCCTACGGCAATCCGAGCCCATTTAAATTAGTTGTCAGCCACAATCAATTCACAACAACGCATCTGATGTATTGAATACTTGACAGTAATGTAAGATGCGAACTTACGACCTGTCCCAGATCTACGAAAAGTACAATCAACTAACGCTAATGTGCTTAGAATTTTTTGTGGTGTAGTATAGTTTTGTCCATTATCATACAATGTTTGCTTACAAATTACAAATAAATCATTAACATTCAACAAATGAAGAACTTTGGAATTAATTTTCACTACATTCGAAACAGAATACAGGTTTATAGTGCCCGTGCATCTTGCGATGAATACTATATAAGGAGTTTTTCTGAATTTTAAACATGATTTAAAGCAAAAAAAAATCCAACTTATACTCCTGTGAAATAATTCTATGTTCAATGCATAATGTCTAAGCCAAAACCAAAAATTGTTGAAGGCATATAATTATTTTATATGAAATTCTCGACTTCTATGGTTTATCGGTAATATCGGAACCACAAATGGAACCACAGGTGGATGGAAGAATATTTCACATAAAAAATGGGCAAAATACTTTTAAAATAACAACTGCATACCAAAAAACAACGTACTATTATCTTACAATAAGGAACACAGAATACACATATACAAGTAAAGCACATATAATTCCTTTACAGGAGTACTATAGTTGTTCTACAGCTATAATTTTGCCTTTAAGTTGTATAAAAACAAATGTAACAATATTCTGCCAGGCCTTGATTCCACAGTTATAAAACTGTAATACTGTAATGCACACTGTAATCCCATAACCCTGCCTCTCAATGCAAACATTGTTATTCGATTCATGTTATTTGATATTCACAGACACGCCCTTTGTTTAATTACGTTGCCAGCATCCTTAATCACGCTGCCGTCTCCAATGGCTTCGAAGTTGAATTGCGGAAAATTGTGCAGCATTGTCTGGCAGTGCGTGAAAAGTGCAACAATGCAGTGTCATGGTGTTGATGTTGTTGATTTTATTGATAATTATAGTGGGTGTCCATTTATAAATGGACGCATAACATCCCCCTCATTCACAGATGTGTGGTGGCATGTAGTTCGCAAGTTTTGCATGCAAAGGACAGAATGGAGAAGGAGCATTGAAGTGCTTCCTGGAACTACTGTGGCGTAAACAAAAAATTCGCTCTGCTGAATTGCAGTTTATCAGGCAACAGTTATGTACGAGTACCTCCCGCCACCCTCTGACAAGTTATTTACTTTTAATTTCACTCGAGACAAGCTAACAAACGAGCTGGGCGGTGACGGCCACAAAGGCAAACCGACCCAGCTAAGAAAATTTGACCCAAATACGAGTAAACTGAGTTGCTGTTACTTAAACTTATATTTCTTTAAAGGCGATGCAGGGTCGTGGGCGAAGCAATTTGGTGAAATTAAAGAAAACAAAAACAAAAACTGGCTTGCGAGGAGGGGCACAACTGTAACAAATTGCTCAAGTGTTGAAAGTGCAGCAACGGCAACCTAAATCAACAAAATGGCGGCACATTTGCAAAAGGCGTACCGGCAACAACAACAACCCCAGTAATGCCATTCAACTGCATTTGCAGCGCGTGTAACAAGTTGTGTGTGGTGTTGGTGTTAGTGTTGGTGTTGGTGTTGGCGCGTGTATGGTGTGCGAGGTGTTGGTGTGTCGTAATCGATTGGACAGCACCACAAACTAAGTTACCAATGGCTTTACGCCGCATACCTACTTACACCCAAGCTATATAGCACAATGTAGTATGTATATGCAAATTTGTGCAACAGCAGCTCAATTATAGAAAAGGCACTGCCATGAAGGACAACAAGTTTCAAAAGCCACTGAAGTGCGCGACACTTGAGCACATTCATAGAGTGTTCAATGCTTCGGGCACAATGTGCACAGTGTTCACTGCAAGGAGCACTTGAACGGCCAGCAATTTTAACCCACCCATCAACCCGAGAATCGAAATGATAAAATATTTTACAGGGCATAGTTTTTAAGCAAATTCAAGATTGGAAATCCGCATTTAAAACTTGAATTTTTAATTTTGTATTGGATATTCTGGCAAATCCAAACTAAACACTATACTCGTACTTTACAGAGTACTAGAGTTGGCTTAGAGAAAAACATTTATAGGTTCAGCGAGAAAATAATACAAAACACTGCAAGGAATCGCAGCTACACTCTAACTAAACACTACTATATAACAGTATTTCACTGAAGCAACAACAAAAGTACGATCTGTGTTCGTCTTCTCAATGAAAACAAATCAAAATGTATCAAGAATAAGGGCCAGGTATGATGATTTTCCTTGAAAACCGACTGGTACAACGCGTCGCGACGCTTTATGTAAAAATTCTGTACTTGATAAACATCCTATTTTTCGTTTGGTTTCTTATTTCAGCTTGTACTCAGGTTGAATTACACTTCTAGAATACACACATAGGTACATATGCATTTTAAAGAAAGCCTTTGGTAAATCAGTACCTTAATGTATGTATTGAGATTTTATTTATTTATTTTAAAATCGTAGCTATTATTTTTAAAAATGCATTAAAATCGTAGCTATTATTTTTAAAAATCCATCCTAATGGATTAAGACCACTATTTGAATTACAAAATTGACATTAAAAAATTAAATCAATTAAATACGAAATACGCATGCACTTTGCAAGTATGTGTTGGCTTCAATGGGTTAACTTGCGAATTTGCGTTTAATTGTACTTCGCAAGCACACACACAGGCATAGTCATGCAAATGTACACACACGCATACAATTTCGACTATCAAAACGGAAGTGAGTGAAACTTGTCAACGACTATGGTAAGTTTGCTTTTACTTGTTCCTCGGCTCCCACACCAGCCAACCAAATGAAACATCAAGCGAAAGGCGTTAAAGAAGAGCTGGACAGAAAAAACCCACGTTTGGCAAAAGTTTTTCTTTGAATGTTTTGCGGTTTTGGGCCAACAATAACCGGTCAACGATAAGCGTCGAAATAGCCACAACAAGGCATTGAAAGAGGTCAGTAACTAACTGTGTGGGTGTCTGTGTATAAAAGTATATAAATATGTGGGTGTTGTAGCATAACTTTCAGCTGTCGTTCTTAGGTGTTGGATCGTTAGGAAAACTGGAACAGGGCGTCGCTGACCATTACAAGGGTTTTGTATCTGTATCTGTATCTGTGTTTGCGCTCGAATGCAACAATAAGCGACAGGCAGAAGTGTCAGCAGGCGAAGTAATAAAGAAAAATGTGCGACTCTGGGACAGTAAGTAAGGACAAAGCAAGGACTGTTGAGGTCAGGATTTGTGGCGCTTAGGCGACTCAAAAGACAAAAACGAAGACACAGACAGAAAGCTTTAGCTTTGAAGTGGGTCAGACCAGCGGTCAGTCTCGGGTCACACTTGATGTACTAAGTCGGTAACTGTGGGCGTCTTTCACACAAAGTAATTAATAAGTACTAAAAGTAATTGATCTGTGCGATTAAAGTCTTCAAACATGCTACTTACCCTGGTATGCCGCCGCTCTCCATGTGATTCGCCAATGTTACATCATTGGACCAGACATCGAATTGCCACTTGACCAGACCCAGAACGCCGCAATGCACGCGGCCTGTATGAATGCCCACACGCATGTTGACGTTCACAGCCATAACCTCGCGGACCAGCCTGCAACAACAACCATTAAGCCATTTAGTATTGAAAAACAGCCGCAGCCGCAGCCCCAACCGCAGCCACTCAAAGCTGAGGCCCAAGCCGAATCCCCATCAAAAGAAAGAGCTAGAGCGGTCCAACCCAGCCTCTAACTGCATTGTCAATGGCCCAGAGCCCATGCGGCCATCCTCATTGTTATTTGTTTCTGCTTCTCGTATACTCACGCAATGGCGTCTATCATATCGAGACCCATTTCAACGGCACAATGTGCATGATCCGGCCTTGGTTCGGGTAAACCGGAGACGCAATAATAACAATCGCCCAGCAGCTTAATGCGCAGACAATGATGCTCAGCAGCCAATCGATCAAAGCTACACGGCAGCACACAAAGGAGAGAGAGAAAAAAGCAGAACTGAGCAAAACGGTTGAAAATGACAAAATAAAAACTCCATTACAAAATGGCCAACAGCTAATGGCCAAATATGAACAGCCAAAAAAAGGTTATTTGCCTGCTGCTAACGAACCTAAGCCGACCTATTGCACAGTGGGCTTCAAAGCTAATTGGAATTAGTCCCCAACCGAAGCGTGCATTGTAACGTATACTTAATGGGGTTCATGACAAAAGTTTGCCTAAAAGATTGTCTCAGAATTTTGTTACTAATAATAAGTACCATCTTTACAATGAATTGAAAGCTATTTTTATCAAAAGCATTTTAAATGGGTATATATGTAGTACAGTACGTTTAAACACTTTATTCTCAATACAGGATATAGTTCTATGAAGCCGTGGAATAGGGACTACGAGTATATCCAAATAGTCGCCCGATAATACTATATAGTTATACCCTTAGCTTACGGAGAGCACATTGGATTGGCTAAACCCCTGCCAAACAATTTTTATTTTGCACTTCATCTTGTATTTTAGTTGACCATGCTTTTGGACAGAGAAATCATTTATAAAATTAATTATCTAGGCAAAGTGATCATTCTATATAAACAAACAAAATACTATTCTATGGCTATGGCCATTGTAAGCCAATTTGTCAAAAATTTTAAAATAATTATAAGTACTATGAATTTAATCAAAATCAATAAAAAGTATTATAAGCAGAGATAGGTTTTTGCTATAAAAAAAACACTTTTTGTAATTGTCAGGACCTTTTGAATTTAATATTCGACATAAAGCTCTGAAACCACACTCTGCCACCTTTAAGAATACTCTTCTTTAGTTGTAATAAATTCTTTCTTATTATGCAACACTATCTACACTAAATAGTATATAATTAAATTTATTTTGTACATATTTGATCTTTCTGACCACTGTGCACGGCTCGGAGTTAAACCAATCAGCCCTTTGAATGTGCAATTAATTTGGCCAGCGTCTGTTTAGTTTTCCATGTCTTTACTTACATGTTCGCATATGTGTATGGGAATTGTGTATATTTAGGCAGGTTTCTTAAGCTCTGGGCGCAAAAACATAATACGCACTACCTTAACACATGTGCGTGTCATCGACTATCCGAACAACAACAGCAAGGCCATTTCACTAATTATGCCACAAAACTCAAGACGGCCATCTGAGTTTTCTCTTTAATACATTTCGCTTACCGTGCAAATAACTCGTTCAAGAGGCGCACCAATTCCTCAGCCGTGCATTGATCCGAAAGGCTTGTGAAGCCGCAAATGTCCGCAAAAAGAATGCTACGAAAAGTAATAATAATAAAAATAAAAGTGGAGAATTAAAGAAGGGAACGGAATGAATGCATATTACAAGTATAACCTGCGGTTGCTTGGTCGACTGGTTGACTGAGTCAGAAAGATTTTCTTGCGTAGGCTGCAGTCCAGTCAACGTTTGAAATAAGTCGCATAGTTTGTACATATACATACATACATAGTATGTGTGGCCGTGTGGATGTATGGATGTGCGTCACACACACACACACAGCTGTGGCAAAGAATTTTTTAATATATTCCACTATTTTAGTCACGGGCAAAAGCCGACACAATTTTTCGCTTTGGCTCACGTTAAATTTTAAAGTCCTGCTAAATAAATGTGTCTGTTGGCAGCATTTTGTTATTTATGTTTAACGAGTACACACGCACACACACGCACACACACGCACATGCACACTCAGACACATGCACTCCCAAATCAGCGTCAATGCCAAGTTAGCGGGCTTGCGACGTGGTTTACCGCTCACGTTTTTCTTTTTTTCTCTTCATCTTTGCGTTACCAATTTTACGACTGCGCCACTCGTAACTGAGCGGCTTAAGCAGCTCAGCGCGTAATTTAATACAAAACATGGCAGACAACAGAGCAGAAAGCTGGTGGAGAGGTGCAGGTGTGAGCAATAGAATGGCAAACAGGCGGTGACAGCAACGAGTCAGACGACAAACAGGTGGCTCCTAAAATTATGCTTTATAATGCTCAATTGCATCGAATCCTTGCCAGCATTGAGATGAAGGATATATTCTAGATAATGCCTATATTGACGTCAACAAAATACAATTCTTTTTCTCTATCTCTTTTAGGAATTGTCAATGTTTGCTTCTTGCAGGTGTTTTTTTTTTTTTTTTTTTTTTTTTTGGCAAAAAATATGCCTGTATTAGGAAGAAATCAACGTTATTGTTCACAGAAGTGAACTCACACAAATTTAGTTTGTTTCAGATTATAGCATGATAGAAATTACCAGTCCGCATAAAATTGAATAATTGTCCTCCTAGGACAGGTCTTAAATAAACAACTACATATACAACTAGATTAAGCTGTCAGATAGGTAGTAGGATACTAGTTTAAAAATTTTGCAATAACTGATCTAACTATTTTTGAAAATTGTTGTACATGATGATTTTCATAATTTTCATCCTTAAAACGATGAACTAAATAGGACTTTAAATATGTCCCAGTTTTGTTGTTCACATAACTACCATAAATATACTAAGGCTGTATCATATTATAGCGAAGAAGAACAGCTACAATGTTAAGCATTGTACAGAATATATATCATATGCCACTTAGCTTAATAAATGAATTAGGAATTAGCTTAATAAATTAATTCATAATTCTTTCCCGTACTTAACAGTAGGAAACGGTAGAATGATATACTCATTCACCTCAATAATTTCTCTAATTTTAATTTTTAATTCTACCCTCAGAGCCTTGAAGCTGAAAGAGTTTCTCCTAACCATGATAAATGTAACTTTTCCATTTATATGAACACTTTTATTATGACTATTTTCATCGGTAGAAAATGTTTGCTGGGTTTCCAGTTAGTGGGCAGACTAACGTGAACGTTATGCATGACAGTTGACAAAAATCAGGTTCACTCTGCACCGGTGCTTTACATAAAAAGTCACGGAGCTGCCAAGCGGTCGGGTTACTCAAACATACTCACACACACACACACACACACACAAACAAACAGAGTCACACTCGAAGCCAACATTTTATTGACTTTACATGCAAATAAATTTACACATGAATGCGTGCATGTGTATGTTATGCTTGTAGGTGTTTAGGTGTGTAGTTATGCTTGCACTCACCTGACATTCTCATGTCGCTGTATATAAATCTTATGAAACTGCGTATCACGTGGCTGTCCTGCAATGTCGTCCTTCATCTCCATAGCAACGTGACGCGGCAGCACGGAGAGCAGCAGACGTTCCTGAAACGACAACAACGACATCAGCAGACACAAATATAACGAGGCATAATAAGTAAACACAACCAAGTGTATAATGGTACGTTTGCTTAACTTGCGAGCGCCTTAAATTATGCTATGGAAAATGCGTGGACGCGCGTGTGATTGCAAACAGTTGTTTGTAAGCCCGCCTGCTTTTCTGCTTACTTCCTTGGTGACATAAAATGCCTGACACGAACAGCAGACTCAGGAGCAGCAGCAACAAGTTAAAGGCTCGACAAAGGCATAGCAGACGCCTTTTCAGCTTTTCCTTCAGAAGCTGTTGGCAATCAAAGCCATGGCACGTTGCTCCTTTTTGTGCACAGAGTTTGATTAAGGGCTGTTTAGACTGCGAAATATGATCATAATCATAATTATACTTATTGTGCCAGTAACCTCTTGCTCCCAATTATTAAAAGTAATTTTGAGTGATATTTTGCCTCCTTCGTTAGTTATGATAGGTAGGTAGGTAGGTGCCGTCGTCGGGGACTGACTCACTTAGTTGTGTTAGTGTTTATTATTTTTTATACAAATTGAATATCCTATTTTTATTGGTAAATACATTTTTATAGATACAGAAAAACAAGCTGTAACTAATGGTAAGAAACTAGGATGAAGCCATCTCACTATAATCAAATTTAAGCTAAATTGTTCCAATAATTAAATTGTTGTTAAATTTTGTAAAAAAAAATCATGAAGACTACTATAATAAAAATGATTCATGTTATTATCTATTCCTAAATATATTTTTTTTTTTCTAAAATCTGTTAAAGAAGCAGTTATTAAAATAAAGTATATAAACTTCTTGAATCAAATAAAAATGTTGTAGCAATTTTTAATTAAATCGATTTGATAAATTTGAAACATTTGATGAGAAATTTGTCCATAATAAAAATTATATTTTTAAATCAAATTCTAATTGACAGAACTTGCATAAATTCCCAGAATAAATGTTTCCATATTATCTAAAAGACGGTCTTACTATAGGTTAAATCATGTATTTAGATAAATATTAACCTTTTCAATATCTCAACAAATTCCGCTCTCCCACAAAATATCTTCATATATTATACACCCTTCACCCTATTAGATCTCAATTCTATGCTCAATACGAACTTTATGGATAATTTATGTGCATATACTTGTAGTACACCTGTTGTATTTTATGCCAAATAATAAAAAGCAAAAATTCATAAATAATTCCAATTGATTTTGATTTGATAAGTGAAACGATGCGTATAAACACGTCCTAATCCTGTCTATCGCTCACTCGGTTGCTGTAAAATTCATTTGCGTATTTCACCATCCTAATATGTGGGTATGTATGTTTATTTATTTCTGCTGCTATCGCTTGTTCGCCGCATTTTTGCGCATTTCAAACATACACACACACAGACAGACAGACACATACGCAGACGCCCACACGATTACACATACCCATACCTATACTCAGACTCACAAAAATGGCAAGTGAAAGCTCAGAGAACTTTCACTTTGATGCCCATTTTGAAGTCTTGATTGAATTTTGATGGGGTTTGCCTTTTTCGAATCAACTCTTGTTCATTTGCCTGTCAGAGAGATTGGATGCCTGGTTTATTTGCATAAGCAACGTTGTAAATGCAAATCGTGTGTTGTTGGCAAAGCATGCTCTTAGGCGGCATTATTTAGAACTTTTACTCACTTGCTGCTGATTTTCGCGCTGGGTACGTAATCGTGCCTCGATGCATTGGCGGGTCTCTATGAAGGCCTTACGTTGGGCCTTCTCCTTTGGCCAGTGCGTATAGATGCCCGTCAAATTGGCCAAAAACAATGCCACGCACGTACACAACAGCTGTGGGCGCCAAAAGACAGAGCCGCAGAACAGACCAACAGAAGAGAGAGGAGGTTGTTAAATGGTTATAAATTAATAACATTAAAGTAAATACAATAAAAATCATAATAAATCAGTTATAAAAGCAACAGCACGTCACAGACAGGCAACAACACTTGCACAGCCACACACTCTCATACATGTAGACACACAACACCAACAAACACACACGGCCACACACGACTATTGAGCATCTCTCGCCTCTTTTTCCTGGCACTGCAAATTTCATTCAATTTTGCGGCAATTTCATTTCATTTATATTTTTTTCTCACTGCACTTAATGGCAATACGACGGCAATGGCAACGGCAATAGCGACGGCAACGAGTGGCAAGTGCCACCATTTCCGCTCGTCTGTGCAACCTGTAGAGATTTCCTTTATTTATATATGACGGCCAACTTGCTCAGTATTTCAGCTTATGTATTAATCCGATGTGCGTGCTGACAATTGTCGCACAATTAAAGCTAGACATCCAACAAACCAACCAACTATTTAACAGCCCGCAACAGCTGTATGTCGAAGGTAGTGGAAGGCATTCAATTGGCGGCTTGTGCGCTTTAATGGACGCCATTGACTCCGATTCATAGTAACTTAGCAGAAAAGCGATTGATTAACCCAACAATACTTAACTTTTTTAAAGTTGTCTGCCCACTTTTATTCTAAAGAGCCTTATTTAAAGGCATATAATACTAAAGAAATTCGTATTTATTAGAAATTTAAGTTTTTGGTATTTAAATTCATTGTGTTAGGGAATAAAAATGAATATAAAATTTAAGTTAAATAAATTATATCTAAAGCTTTATATAATTAAAAAAAATGTATATTGAAAATACAATGTAATCTTTTCCCTGGCTTTTTCCCCCCTAGCTAGATATAATTTTGCATTTACAAATATTGAAAAATTGTGAGAAACATACAAGTAGCTGCCATTGCAATTTATGTATAAAAAAAGAATAAATAATTTTAAGACTGCTTATACTTGACTATACCACATTGATTTTTAAACAAGTTTATTATTCTTTTTCTAAATATAATAGCCTTACAAAAAAAGAAACTTCAAATTATGGATCAATAAATTTAACACTTTTTGAAAGCATTTATTATTTTTTTTTGAAATTTTACCCTAAATGTTAGAAAAACGGGAATATAGCCCAAGTATATTTAAAATCAATATGTTCATAGATTTTTTGTATAATCGATTATTTAAGTATCAAATATCGACTTGGCTAAAATGTAGTCCTTGTATGAGATTTTCCATATTTCTAGGCACTAGCACTATTGGTTGTGATGAAGGGCTGCCGTCATGGCATGAGCGTGATCGGCTAATGTCCAAAGACTGCAGCTATTAGTTAATGATTATCTCTTTTAAGCTTGTCTAGCGTATCAGTTGACATTTGTTCCCAAAATAAACTATATTTCGTAAAAATATTGAATTCGAATTTACTTCGACTTGACATCTTTATAAATACAATGGAATGTCAAACATTATCTTCTATATTAATAAAAGGATAACCAGCTGGAGTATACTTTTTAAAACGGGGATCTTTTTTAGTAACAATTCAGATGATACCATACCATACCACCAATCCATGACTTATATACATACAATATCTATTTCAAAACGGCCAATATTGTTTTATTATAAGTCTACATCACGAAATAATATCCACAATCTGTTTGCTGACTATTAATATCAGATGTTTCTGTCAACCTCGTGGTTTTCAGCACGCTCTAGTAAGAAAGGGTTAAAAGCTAACCGTTGATTTGCAGCAGCTGTTGCACAACTAAATGACAAACACGCGTGCAACCTTAACCATACACACACACTCATACAAGCACACACACACACACACACACATGGCTTAGGGCAATAACTAACTCACCTCCTGCCAGTGAATTTCTGTCATTGTTGGCATTGTTGTTGTTGTCGCTGTCGTTGACGAGGACACGTTTCGCAGACAGGTGTATAGGTGCATGCCACTGAGCAACACGCCACCTATAAGCGCCTCACTCAAACGCAGCGGCAACATTGTGTATGTCATGTAGACGAGCACAATGCAACAGGCGCTGCCGTTAAAGGATTTGCTGTCGACATGAGATGTGGTGAGATGGAAAGAGGAAAGTGCAAGTGGTTACAAAAACAGGAACTCTAAATCAAAGGGAAATCAAAGGCAGAGGTCATACACAATACATAACATAATGCTTTTAGCTCATTATTAAATAATGCAAGTGCTTCTCGTAAAAATAATGTATTGTTGGACTTGCAATTTTGATTTTAATATTCATACAAGATATATTCCAAAGTAAACTAAAATATGGCATTTCCCGTTCACGCTATCTGTATGGGCTAAGTAAAAATTCCATGATATTTCTTCCATTGGAAGACAAAAAAGATTGTCCAATGAAGAGCAATTATTGACATCGTTCTTAAGCTCGCATTTTAATCGAACACTTGGGTCTGGTTCTTGACAAAAATCACATTTTAATCATCAACCACTCCCCGAATTTGCCTGATTTGGCACCGTACGACTTTTACCTTTACGGAATAATACATTTGGCGGTAAAAGGAGAACGTTATGTGAACGTAGAAGCCACTTAAAAGACTTTAGCCGATATTCTTAAGACCATCCGATGAAACACTCGTTCGATATGTTTGTAAGTCGTGCAAAAAAAAACCCTGCAGTCCAAAAGACACAATGTCTATCAAAATCTTTCAGCTCAGTTTTTATATTCAAACTTGATCAACCCGGTTAAATAAAATAATTTATTATTAATTGTAACTACGGAAATAAGAGATCATATTCCACATAATAATGTAAATACACTGAAGATTCCCTTGCTATCTTGAAGTATTGTGCGCATTGGATTTGCATTTAATATTTTCCATGTCAATTGTCTGCCCTATGTGCTGGTGTAGAACTCAAAGGCACACTATTCAAAGTCACATTTCGTGCCCTTGCAAACCCTTTTCATTTTCCGCCTCGTTTCTTTACTACTAAATTAATTGTTAGCTGTTGTTGCTTAGCGAAACTTTTTCCCATGTTCTAATTTTAGAAGCAATTAGTATTGTATTTATAGCGTTCTAATTAGTGCCTCAACAGTTGTGCCTTGAGCTTTTGATTAATTTTCAACCGAGTGCCGGCGGCAACAAGAAACGGAAAAGGAAAAAACAAAGCAATAGATGTCCCCCTCCCCTACCCTATCCTACCCAAGGACTTTCCAAGCACTCACCTGGGCTGCATAGCATAGCTGACGGCAATCTCAATGCCCAGAAACGTGCCCAATATGACATAGGAGACCAACACGAGGAATATTTCATTCATGGCTGGCTTAGAGAGTATGCAGAGCAGAACTGAAAGCAGATGAAAGCAAACAAAGTAGAAGGAGTGAAAGAGTTAAAGCTACTAAAGTAAAACGCTGTCACAGAACAAATTGCCAAGGGGATGCTGGCAATTAGAAAGAAGTGGCGACATACATATTTAACACGAAAACCGTTAAAAATGACAAGAAATATGCAAGCGAACACTCACATGCATAGATAATGCCACAAATTAGCATGGCAATGAGAAAGACGAGCACTGTCTCATCAATTTGTGTAATCACAGACGACAAAATGTAATTCAATGAAGTGTCGGCATTATCATCAAACATATCGGCTGTTCCATCCTCGCGATCTGGCTCGTTAGCCAGCCTCACCGTCATGTTGAGCACTTCATCACGTGCCTCGATTTCCATGGCTTGGCGTCTAGCTTCATTGTTCTGATGCGATGCGGCGCGTACACGAGGCGTATGCGTAATGTGTTTAATGCCATCTGCGTTCGTAGCCATGTCAATAATGTCGACACCAGCGCCATCCTCATCATCATCAGCATTCGGTCGACCAGCAGAAGCATCATGATTATCATCAATATGTACATCAGGGATGGCCAAAGCGCGCTCAGTGCGTAATCTGTATCTTATAGGCAGAAAAATAAGATAAAAACAAATTTTATTCGTTTGCTAAATATAAAACGAAAAAATAAGTATACATATATACAGATACGATATAATCCAAGCTATTCCAGAGAATAGAGAATGCATTACAAAAATATTTGGCGCCCTATCTATCATCGTTGCATAAATACAAGTATATACGTGTATGAGAATAAATCTAAATGTAAATTCCTTGGCCAAGTTAATAGCAGCCCCCATTGTGAGCGATGCTTTCGGTCCGGCATGATCTATATATACACATATGTATTCATATTTTATGTATTGCTTCAACATTTCCCTGGGCGCAACCCCTCTCCATGCTAAGGTGCCTCTTCTATCGAACTATGTGTATGCGACACCTTTCAAATATTTGTGTGCTTTGTCGTTTGAGCATGTGTGGGTGCATGTGTGCTTATGGGCTGGGAATCTTCTTTTTTTGAAATATTTTCGACACGTGTTGTGCGAAACACTGCCTTGCCAATTTCTAGCTCGACGCAATTTTCAATTGAAAGCATTTTCATAGCAATTTGCACAATTTGACTGCCTTGTCAATTGTTTTATGTGTTTCTGACTGGCAGCCACTTTCACTTTTCGGCTCCTGTCGCTTTCAATTTGATTTATGCGCACTCTTTCACCACCCAATTTAAATACGACAATAATTCCAGATTTCAGTTATTCTAAGGCAATACAATTTATTAGCCTATTTTTTATGCTCAAATGAAATCGACGTTTAACTGGGGTTCTAGCAAGGTCTGTGCAACGTTGTAGCATACTTTTCTGCATCTAAACAGGACCTATTGCAGTTATACAACAATTAAATCGAAATACAACTTATGTATACAATTAATTTGTAGATCAGTTGAAAAATATTTTAAATGTCCTTTATTGGATTTAGTGGAGCCCACAAACCAAATTTGATTAGTCCACCTCTGATGCTTTCCAAAATCCGTGTGCTCATACAAATGGAAGGAAGAAATATGCTATCGCACCTCGTCATCCAGGCACCTATAGCAATAATATATGTATCAGAAGAATATACAGAAGTCAGTCATCAGCTGGAATAAAATCATCAGCAGAATTTAGTCAGTAGCAGTCCTCGAACTTATATATCAGTTGGTAACTGATACAATTGTATTAGTCGGGTTGAAATTCAACTCTTCTCCAATCTGTTGTATTTATATTACTCTTTAACGATTTACATATTCCAATAAACCAGTAGTACAATCCATCTTATATTTATGCAGTGGAACCTTTCCCACCTCCTTCTGGATGTTACATACAAAACTAGTATTTAATCCATTAGGCAAGGAAACTAAAGTTTCATGATAATAATTAGAATATGATTCTTAAACCATTTTTGTTTGTTTCAACATTACAAAAAGGGAATAACTCAAAGCATAGTTTTGCCCTCAAACAAGTAATGAAAAGTATGCGCCAGTTTTAAAAATTTTAAATTCACCTGAAGAAGACTCTTCACTGACGGTCATGAATGGTTTTTTCATAAGTAGGGTGCACAACATGGCGTATGCGTAACGCACGCTGCCTGTCAAAATGCCAAGCGCATAACATTTAATTATTAAACAGTTGGTGACGGCTAAATGGCCGGTTGGTAAGCTTAAAAACCAGCGCACTTTCAGTTGCCTGTATCCCCCACTCACCTGGTCCGCTGCTTGTAGCGATGTTTGTGCAAACGCCGATAATGTTTGTGCTTTTGCCCACGCTGAAATGACAGGCGGCGCGTCGAGGACTCCAAAACGATTGGCGTTGGTGGCTGCGGCCGCACATTATCGTCAACATCAAAATCAACGTCAACATAGTTGTAACCGCCGAAATCGGGTAAAGTATAACGCCTTGCTTCATGTGGGTGGGGATTTTGGTGGTGATGCTGATGCTGATGCTGGCGCTTACGTCGCCGCAACTTGATGCCATTCGCAAATTTCTGACCAATTTGCGACGATGCGTGCTCATTCGCGACTGGCGTGCGGGCGGTGGAAAGGGTCGCATTAAAGTGGAACTGAAACGTGCGCGCCGGCTGATAACTCATTTCCTTTTCGGGTGCAACAAGATGTCTGCTGTTGTTGTTGTTGCTGCTGTCAAAGTCCGTCGAATTTAAGTCCACGGCTAAACTTTCCAACGTTATTCGGTCCAGTACTCTGTGAATTGTTGTTGTTGCTGTTTTAGCAGCTGTAAGCGAAGCAGTCTGGCTAGCGAGGTTGCGTTGAATATGAAGCGTGGTGAAGACGACGTGCGTGCAGGATAGCGCCAGAATGAGGGTCAAGAGCAATACCAAAATGTGCGTTGTGTTACTTTGATTCATGCGCAAAAAATAACGCTGATAAAGCATTTCCACCTGAAAGAAAAGTGCGAAGGAGGCAAATAAGAAAAACCAAACTGCGGAACTGCTACGAAAATATTCAAAAGTTTTCTCCGACGCTTTTCCCGAGTGCTATTTCTGGAAGTTGTTGGGAGGTCGGCAATTTGAAAGGATTTATAGCAAACGAGACGACGCTAAGCTTTCAATCGATTCTCAGTTGCTTTTGAGCTTCACATTCACTTCAGCTCTCACAGATATATTAAAAAAATAAAAGTTTCAACAATTTAAGTAGCTTACCTGCAAATTTTTAAACTGATGCGTCGAGCACAAACGCAAAATGATGCGATTCAGGCGATACCAAAAAGAAATGCTAGGACTAACAGCGCCTGCGGTGCTCAGATTGGCTTCGATGTTCCGTCCATCTCCCGTTTCACCTGATGGTAGGTGGGTTAGAAAGTATTGAAAAGTTGGTATAAAAATTGAATTACCAGCATGAGCAATTCGAAACTTATAAATGGGCAATTAGAGTGGTCAGTATGAGAGGCACTGTCATACAGCCAACCACAATGGAATGCAATTTCACAACTAGTTGGCCCGTGTTAACTATTTACATATGTGCACCCACACACTCACACACGGATACATACATTTTACATTGCACCTGAAACGAACAGATGAGTTTTGTTGCTATTGATTCTATTATTTCAGCCCTCATTTTCACCTGGACAACAAGTTCTGACATTATACCAAACGCTTCTACTAAATTCTCTATGCAAATCGATATTGAATGCATATAAATAATTAGAAGTCACAAACAAAGGTCGTTTGGCTTCCAATCTGGTAAATGCATCTGACACTCACAAAGCTTAATTTTGCACATAAACTATGAGCGCACAACGGAAAACAATTCTAATTAATTGTAAAAAGAGAAATGATGGGGACATGCAAATTATTTTGAAGGCAATATATGATAATATTAAACATTAACATTATCTGATATAGACAAGCAACTTTGAATTTCAATAACTGGCTTCACGCTTCATTGAGCTTATCAACAGTTTTTGTTTGCAGATCTTAATGACTTTATCATGTTGACCTTTAAGAAGCAGATCTCAAGCGTATCTAATGTACGGCTTACTTTGTACCCACACATTAGTTATCCATATCCCCACACCATGTATATTATTCACCTCGGATAATTCTAACTTCGATGATTAAGAAAAATGGAAACGGTTTACTGTTTGATAAACCGCATTGAGACATTACTGTGTTAGCAAAGGAATCAATGAAAACCAAAGAGAAGAAGAACAATGGACAGATTAATTTAGAGAGGGAGAGAGAGAGAGAGCGGTGCAAACAGATAACTGCTTTACATTAACACGAGCTGAACTAGGTACAAATAAAACTGATTGTTTTGAGGTGTGCTTTTTTTGTTTCAACTACTACCATTATAGTATATTCTATTCTTTCATTTTATTTAAATATGTTAATGGTGCTTCAAAATTAAACCAAATGCACCTTTTTAGGTTAAACTATTACTGGTATTTGATTCCAATACTGCTCCAATTCACAATATGAATGAAGTATAGATATGAAGTATAGATAATGAAATAGAGATATTTGAATTATAGCATACTAGTACCAGGTAAATGAAAGGAGTAACAAAACTGCAATTCATGTAAGAAAATGAGGATACGAATAGAAAGAGCACAAAATTGAAAATAAAGTTAATGAAGTATAGATAATGAAATAGAGATATTTGAATTATAGCATACTAGTACCTGGTAAATGAAAGGAGTAATAAAAATGCAATTCATGTAAGTAAGTAAGTCCATTTACTATAGAACGAGCACGAAATTGAAAATAAAGCTAATGAGGTAGAGATATTTGAATTATAGCATACAAGTATCTAAAACCACTATGGTCCTTATGTTACCATAAGTTGTAACAACAAAGTCCCAGAATATTTGTCACCCCTCTTCAGCATACATCTCTTTTCCATTAACACTTTTAATGTTACTTCGACTTCGCATAACAAATAGCAAACCTAACTTTCCAATTTATTCCCATTGTAAAGCGACAGCAACAAGAAACATGTTTTTTGCTGATTCTGACATTTTTAGGTATTGTTGAAAAATAATTTAAATGCAACGCACAAAACCATAAGTTGTATAAAACGACATGGCTCAAATCGTCCCATTAAAATCATTGAACCGTCTGTTGACCACAATGCAAAAGCCACACAAAAACACATTCGTAAAACCCTCCGACAAAAACATCAAAAAACATGCACATAAAATGTGTTTTTTATATGCATCAATAAATAAATGCCAAACGTGATTATGTAAATTTCCATGGAAATCTGCGCATATCAAAAGCAAACATGGTAGCGCTCATAGAAATAAAACTACACACATGAAATAAATCAAATAATAGAGTATGATTTTGGTGGATGTGGTAGTGGTGTTTGTGGGACACTAGACATGTTA